AGATGCTATTTTTTTCTGTAAGAAATTGGAGAATGACTAAGTTCGTCACTAAGTTTAAGAGTATAAGTAGTAAAGTAAAAGAATGATATGGAGTACAATACTAGTACTTGGATAAGAGGGTTACTATAAGGAATTAGAGGATGATGTGTAAGTTTAAGAGTTAAAGTATCAGGAGTAAGGTATAAGAATGATATGGAGTATTTGGAAAAGAGGGTTACAGTACTATAAGGATCGAATAAGAAAATAGAAAAGGTGTTGAATAAGTTTGTGTCTTGGTATCAGGAGATTACAGAGTGGATGGGGATTTGGATTTAAAATTAAAATAAATTAAAACTAAAATAAATTTACCGTAATTTTTTTTATGAAATGTATTTCTTTTGTATATATTTATTTATTTTTTGACATCGACATTAAAAGAATAATTTCAGAATTTCAAAGAGGTTTAAGTGACACCGACCCAAAAAGAAGATGAGGAGATGGATTTGCAATTTAGTAATTATTATTAGTAATTGTATTATATTTAATCTTAGTAAAATGAAAATAGAATAATGTCAACTGTACTCTAATTATTTTTTACTATTATTTGTCGTTTTAATAATTGTTTTTTTATTTCATATAACTATAAATACAAATAATTATATTTATATAATCCAATATAATCGTGATGAAAGAAATAAGATTGTGAATATTTTTATGATATTTTGTGAAAGTGAAACTAATGAGTGTTATTATTTTGACTTTCAGGATGGAGCAGAGTGTTTTAACTGCAAAGGTTTATAGGGTGCAGTCTTCAAAATTATCTAGCAAAGAGGCTTGTAGCATTCTTCAGAATCATGATCAAGAATTAATCTCAAAAATCCCCCCAGTACGACCAAAGGCAGGCGAGATTTATCTTATATCTAGTGAGGGAGATGACAGAAAAATAAATGACTGGTCTCATGACGGATATCAGTGGGTTAACAAAGGAGGAGATGGCTATCCAAGGAAGGAGAAAATAATGTGGAAGAAATACTACAACATAAGTAGCATGCCTGGGGACAAAAATGGCTCAGCTGAGTTCCAGAGAGCATCTTTCAAGCTAGTTGAGAATTCTTCTTTAGTACTCGTACACTACACTGGGGATGAAACTACATATGTGCCAAGACCCCATGGGAATCAAAAATCACAAACAGGAGACTTTGTGTCAACGTTGCCCTCTGTATTGTCACAGATAAAGGAGAAATCTGTTTAGAACAAACCACAGGAGGTGTACAGAAGCATGCTCTTAGAGAACACCGTTAGTGGAGAGTACCAAGGTGTACTAAATCCTAGAAATGCCAAGCAGATTAGGAATATGCAGACAAATATGAACAAGGCCAGAAGGTTATCTCACGATGAAATTTATAACACACTACAACTGGCATACCATCTGGATGATTTCGTGCATCATTTTTCAATTTTTCCTGATTTGCAATGCTTTGTAGCAAACAAAGATCTCCTGCAAGACTTAAATAAAGTTCTTCAAGTCAAATCAGATGAGGTTCCACTTTTGTCATATGACACTACCTTCCTTATTGGGGATTTCTATGTTTCAGTATTAGTTTTCAAACACGTTTTATTTCAGAGCAACCCATCCATTCCAGTGGCCTTCTACATTCACGACAGGAAATCGGAGGAAATACACCACGACTTCTGGAGAAAAATTGCCACACTTGTGCCAAACATCAATAGGGCATCAACTGTCATTGTGACTGATAGGGAGAAGGCAGTTGTAAATGCAATTAAGAAAGTAACCCCAAATGCAGCATTAATCCACTGCTGGAACCACATACACAGTGATGCTAAACACTGGATCAAACAACATGGTGGCAAAATAGACGACCAACTTGTCTATGTCAGCAATTTGAGGGAACTGCTTCAGACTGAAAATGAAGATGACTACAATGAAAAGTTAGAGGAAGTATCACAGTTCTGGAGTAAACCGTTCCTAGAATATTACAATGGGAAACTACACAAGGACATAATTCAGCATTCCTCAAAATGGGTTTTGGAAGAACACAAGGTTTACGACCCTTATTCCGGTGTGACCAACAACATGTCAGAAAGCATGAATGCAGTCATTAAGAGGATGATGCAGTGGAAACAAGCTCCATTAGATGCTACAGTACTGGCCTTTAATTATCTACAGAAGTTTTATGTATACGAGACAATGAGAGGACTTTGTAGTATAGGAAATTACAGGCTCAAAAACATTCACTCAGGTGCTGCCGTTGATAAGTGTGATCTAGCCTTCCCAAATGATGTATGCGCCCCAGAGAAAATTGTAGACCTAGTGAAAGGAAAGTTGGAAGAGAAAGCTAAGGAAGTTGAAGAAGAGAAAGAACAAGAGGTAGATCTGCCAAACAATGCCACTATTATTGACGAGAAAGAGCAACAGAGTACGACCCAAAGATCCCTGGCAATGGCTGCTGTGAAAGACAAAAGGGTATTCCACGTTCCAGAAGCAGGATCATTTGTTGTGAAAGGTTCTAATGGGGATAATTATAGCGTTTCTTTATTTCCAGAAAAATGCCAATGTCCCTCCGTCGGCACATGTTACCACATCATGGCAGTGAAAATGAGTATCGGAGAGGAAAATATTGAGGAAAAACGCATATACAATTTGACACAGCTGCGGAGAAACAACAGGAAAAGGGTAAACAAAAAGGCAGGCACCAAAAAACCAAGACCATGCGACAAAGAGGTAACAGTCATTGCTGCACCAGATTCCTGCATCAAGAGAACAGAAGAATGGACGGATGATATTTTGCCTTCACCAGTGGCAACTTTAACACCAGTGTGTGAAAAAATGGATGGACATGACACAGCTTCAATTCTAAAAAGGAAAAGGAATGACTGCAAACCAACTGCCAGAAAACGCATAAAATTTGAGGACGAGAATTTCCAAGAGAAGGTAAAGGAAATGACATACATTGAGGAGAGTGAAAATCCAGGTGCGGAAAATTGGACTGAAAATGGCAAACACATTCTTACCATCAAACACAAAAATGACATCCAGAACAATGCCATGCTGTGTAGTGATGTAATTAACTTTGCTCAAACCATCTTGAAGGAACAGTTTCCACAGATAAACGGATTTCAACACACTGGATATGCACCAGTAATAAAGGAAGGAAATTGGGAGTACAAACTACAGATGTCACCGGAGAAAGCCCCTATAGCTCAGATCCACCATACTGGTCATCAACACTGGATTGCTAGTCTACAAATGAAGGATACTGACAAAGTTTTGATTTTGGATAGCTGCAATAAAAAAAGAGATTACATATCACAATCAACACAGCTACAGCTGGGGAAGATGTATGGAAGGGAAAAAACAAATTTGAAAGTTTCCATCTTGGAGGTCCAACAACAAACAAATGGTGTTGACTGCGGTGTGTTTGCGATTGCAAATCTAACAGATTTTTGCATTGCAGAAGATGTCAAAGACCAGCCAATACAGTTTGACACGGAGAAAATGAGGGATCATTTGATAAAATGCCTGGAAGAAAAAAAATTTGAACCATTCCCTAAAAAGCAAAAGCAGAAGAAACGCCTGAGTTTGACAAAGAAGCGAGAAAACATTCAGAATATCAGTATAGACTGTGCAGCCCGGTGTAGCCTTCCAAATGTGTATGATGACATGATTGTCTGTGAAAATCCATCTTGTGGACAATGGTATCATCTCCGCTGTGTTGGAATCCAGGATCCAAAAGAGAGTCTCATCTTCATTTGCCCATCTTGTGCTAACTGAATAAATAAAAATGAATTGAAAAATGAATTGTGTTGTTTTTGTTTTTAATGGGATATCATAGTGCTTTTTTATATAACTTGACAATTGTAAACCGAGTCTGTGCCCTGGTAGGGCGTTGTAGAAATACAATAAGAACGGTTTGCATGTAACTATGTAAATATAGTGCTTAGAACTTTAATAAAATGAAATAAAAGCATTAAAACCTGTCTTTTCTTTTTATACTTATTTTTTAATTAGTATTGCATAAAGTCTTAGTGCTTTAGAGTTTAGAAGTTTGATTGATAGTCAGATGAAATATAAACCGAGTCTGGACCCTGGTAGGGTGTTGTATTTTATACAATAAGAACGGTTTATGTTTTAAGTTTAAAAAATTAAAACATTATAACATTTAAAAAAGTTATGTTTGCATGCATAGATATTGTATATAACAAAAGGAGGGATGGGGGTGGGTATACAATAGGCTCAAATGAGGATACCTCCGCGTGGTTTGGGCTGGGCAATGTCACGAAAGTGATAGCTAACATCCTCTGGTAAGTATTCCGGAAATAAAAGGTTCGTCCCGGGTGAACGCTTCCGGTTTTGACCAATCCCGGGTATTCAAAAAATGCTTATATTCTTAATAATTGGGATTGATTACCGAAACAGTTAGACGTTTTGGGTAGTTTAAGTTCAATTTCAAAGACCCAAATGAAATAATTGTAAATATGCTGCCGATATTAAGTTTAAATCGCCAAAATGAGTAATCCGGGCTCGCTACCCATTTTAGTCACCTGGAAAAGGACAATCGGCGATAATCATTGAAAAACACAACATTTTGACTCAAAACTCTCAGCGAAGGCAAAACGTATGGTTATAAAACATGTCTGTAAATTTCATGAAGAAAGATTGAGTATTTATTTCGTAATTATCAAAAACCCGGTTTTGAGTTTCGAAATTCCCGGCCCGGCCCGGGTTTCGCTACCCATTTTAGTCACACTCCCAGGGCCTACGGACGATGTCACATTTCTCACATCCGAATGTCCTCTGCATGTCAGTATCCCGAACCCGAGCCTAAGGCGTTTTCGTAAACAAGCATTGATTCTGTTGACTAAGAGGAAAATAACATAATAAAGTTTTAAATTTTAATAAATACAGGATTAGAAAGTTGTATCATTTCAAATATATTAAAAGTTTGTCCGGTAAACAAAATATTATCGGGATCGACATTTGGATATCCCCCGTCGCATTATTTCCGGTTCTTCCTGGAATGTCCGGTGTTGAATACTTTTGACAGCTGTTTTTCTTGTAAATATTCAAAACAATGGGCAGTAGGGCATCTATCCAGCTCCAGGAAACTGAATTAAATGAAATTCAGTCAGAAACTGGCTGTAAGTAATATGTGTTGACTACAAAAACACACAAATTTCATACAAAACTATTTTTTATCAAATAATTATGAGAATATTTACATTAAAATGATAGTTACTGATTTGTAATGTTTTGTAACGAAGGCTTTGCTCAGGACATTGATTTATATATATGCAGCATAATACACTGTACCCATCTTTTCTATTTTTGCAGTTTCACACAATCAGATTGTACGTCTGTATAGTCGATTCACAAGCCTGGATAAAGGGGCTATAGGATGCTTGAGGTAAAGTTTGATTAACAACACTCTAGATAAGTAGTTGGATTTGTGTTTAAGTTATGTATTGATGAAGACCCTTCAAGAAAATAAAAAACTGCTTCAAATGCCGTCATTTTGACAGGTGGAAAGTTTGACAGTTTCCTTATTGAAAATTTGGGAAGTTACAATGTCGATGTTACTTTTCATGTTTCTCTTTAACGATAACTAGTGAAAGAATTGAAAACAAAGATGATAATTATTTATTCGCAAATTTTGTTTTGTACATTTTTGACACTCACAATTTAGAGTAAATGTATCTTTGATCAAAGTTTAATAAAAAGTAATTGGCTTAACTCTGGTTGCAAGATGAAATCAAAATAAAACATTATTTTATGTTATAATACTATAGCTTCATTGTTTATTTCTTATGTCATGTTTATGCAGCCGTGAAGATTTTCTGAGGATTCCTGAGTTAGCTATAAATCCACTCGGAGACCGAATCGTTCATGCATTCTTCACAGAAAGGTAAACATATATGCAGTGTTTTCTCTTTATTTCAATGTAAAGGGTTAGAGATCAGTTGTAAAAGGCTAGGGGCAGAGGTTTATGTACGGAATCTCTGTGGACCTTGTAACAAATTTTATTTCAAAGTGGCATTATTGTCAATTGAAGTGGTCAATTTGGCCGGTAGCCGCTTCTTAGGGAAAACACTGATATGTTGCAAAATGAAAGAAAAGAAACAACGGTTAGTGTTTTGTATATTTCATAGAACTTTTTGGTAAGAACCAAGATCACAAAATTATCACATTCTAACTAATGTTTACATTTGTTTTCAGTAACAATGAGACGGTCAACTTCAGACAATTCATGAGAGTTTTAGCGAGATTCAGGCCAACGAAGTCAAACCAGAACAAAAATAAACTGAATACCAGGGAGGAGAAACTGAAATGTTTGTATTATAAGTGTTTAGATTCTGTGCAATGAATGTAGTTAAAAAACAAGCCTTTGTAGAACTGAATATTGCGGAACACATTTAAATTTTATGATACATTTCAGTTGCTTTCCGAATGTATGACCTGGATGGTGATGACAAAATTTCCAAGGATGAGTTACTGTCCGTGTTACACATGATGGTGGGAGCTAACATTTCCGAGGAACAGGTAAAGAATAGGAATTATGATGTATATGTACCTTTCTATTGACACAGTGGTATGTTTTGACATTACAGAATTGTTTTTTAGCTCACCTCAACGAAGTTGGGGGAGCTTATGTAATACCCTCGGCGTCCCCGTTGGCGTCGGTGTCGGCGTCCCAGGTTAAGTTTTTTGGAGCAGTTTTCTTTTAAAGTACGTCTATATCCTATATTGATTAGACATGCATGGAAGATGCTTCTAGTGTGTTTCATTGTACCAGTCGAAGTTTCAGATGCTGCAACTTCAGCAAAGGAATGACCAGGTTAAGGTTTTTGGAGCAGGTTAACATTTTTGGTGCAGTTTTTGGTGTTGGTGTCATTTCCAAGGAACTATAAGCCCTATCTTGACCAAACTTGCATGGATGATACATCTAAGGATGTACACTACCGGGTTTGATTCGGATGCTGAATCTGACCTACATTTTCCGGTTGAGTGAACAGGTGAATGTTTTTGATGCAGGTCTCATTTACAAGTAACTATAAGTCCTGTGTTGACCAAACTTGCATGGATGATACATCTAAGGATGCACACTACCAGGCTTGCTTCCGATGCTGAATCTGACCTACATTTTCGAGTTGAGTGAACAGGTTAAAGTTTTTGGTGCAGGTTTCATTTCCAAGTAACTATGAGCACTATAATGACCAAACTTGCATGGATGATACATCTAAGGACGCATACTACCAGGCTTGCTTCCGATGCTGAATCTGACCTACATTTTCGAGTTGAGTGAACAGGTTAAAGTTTTTGGTGCAGGTTTCATTTCAAAGTAACTATGAGCCCTATACTGAGCAAACTTGCATGGACGATACATCTTACGATGCACACTAATGGACTTGCTTCAGATGCTGAATTAGACATATTGTACATTTTTCAGATAATGGACCAGGTCTATTACTAGCTGCAATAATGTAGCCCTCTCCGATTTTTTTTTTTGGGAGAGGGCTACAACTCCTTAGGATCTCCGTAATGGTGCAATGCGGCAGTGAATCACTCCCGCACGGATTTTGGCTCAAATTGTCTGAAAACGGCTATTTTATTTATATGCCTTACCTGAAGTTCCAAAATGTAGTTATCCCTCACATAAATCGATCAATAAATATACAGCACAATCCATATATCAGTATTTTTCGTGTATGTCAACATCACAACTTAAATTTATCCGCCATGTTTACTGACCTTGACAGATTTTATTTTGAGACAGCCAATGAGATTAAGGATCTATAGGGAGCGGATTTCTTTGAAATAACCTTATTTTAAGCCTAAATATCGCTGTTTACGAAAAAATGACACATAGAATTATTTTATTCATCGATGTTTAGTGTTACTATTCATCAAAATTATTTATAAACATCGACATTTGCTTGATTGAATTATTCGAAATTTCAAGCGCAAGTTTCACTACGTCACGTGTGAACTGTCATGGCTGCCGAATAAGCGACAAGAAATCACACAGATTTATTTTACATGGTTTTCGCGTTTAACGAGCTATGATGTCAACAGTGAATAAAAATTCGTCTTATTATAAGTAAGTTGAATGTAAAAACAATTTATTCGGCCTGCAGTCGCTCGTATTTAAAAAATATTTTTGCACCATTACGGAGATGCGATGGAATTGTAGCCCTCTCCAGAAAATATCAGATAAAAAAAAATCGGAGAGGGCTACATTATTGCAGCTAGTCTATTACCAAAAAACTATAAGGCTTATATAACATTGTATAAACCAAACTTGCACAATTGATGCATCAAAGGATGAAAACTCTCAAATTTGCTTCAGATGCTGGATTTTAATTACATTTTCATGCAAAAGAACTAGTTTGAAGTTTTTATATAGCTCTCTTCCAAAGTATCAGATCAAAATTGCATAAATATTTTCCTTTTGGGATGTACACTTATTTTTGGTGAATTGTGTGACTTTGCCTTACTTACAGACAACATTCGTTGAGGTGAGCTCTGTAATCTCTGATTACCTATGTTTTATGTTTTATAGCTGGGGAGTATCGCGGAGAGGACAATCAGTGAGGCTGACATTGACGGGGATAACCAGATCTCTTTTGAAGAGTTTGTACAGGTAATTATACATAATTAGGTCAACTAATAAGTTTTTACAGGTAAGCTGTTAGTAAGCTCCTCAGATGTACTGTGCTTGATATCTAGGTTCTGGTTATATATATATGTTTACAATACTGTAATGTAATTAGTTTCTTAAAAAAATGTAAATTTCTTCACTTTAACTTTACAGGCAATGGAGCGAGTGGACGTCGAACAAAAGATGAGCATTCGCTTCCTTCATTAGTGTTCTTGTCTGTTTTGTTGATGATGTGATATTCTAGGCATGTTATCTTCATAAATACTATATTTAATAACTACAAAAAAGATTTACATGAACAAAAAATTTCCAGAATGTTTGAATTTTAATTTTTTTGTACAGATTCTCTATTTTAATATTTTTGTGAAACACTTATTGAAATTCTTTTCAAGTATAAATTATTAAGAAATATTTGTACCGATATTAAGATGACATGAGTCCATCTTAAAAGTTAAAGATTCATATATAGACAAAATATGGCAGACAGTGATAAATCTTATTCCTCACAATAAATACTCTGTCGTTGAAATCCTGACATAAAATACTGCCACGCACCACCACCACACACACAATTGTCAAATACTTGTTTATTATACACACTTGTCTTTGTATTTCAAAAGAATGATTTGTTGTTTTTGCTGACTTTGTTGCAAATATGGAATGTAATGACACAAAATATATGTATTGTGAATTTATGAAACTTCCTGACATTAATTGCACAAATGTAAAATTATGTAATTCATTTGATTACAAGAATGAAGTAGATGATACACCTTATATTGTATTGTATGTATGTTTATCATTCCCCCCCCCCCCCCCCAACCCAAAAGTTTTTATTACGATGAAGCATGTTTTACAGCTGAAAACATCTATGACTTGCTGATGTTTATCTTTAAAGCTATAGTGGATATAATAATATCTTATGTTTGAAGTTTAAAATCAAAACTTGTGAACCTGATGTATCATAAATCATAATACTGTTTTAAGTAATTAAGAATATTGTTATTAACAATATTGACCTAATTTAGAGAATCTGCATTGCCTGTTGATCATGTTGATACTACATCAGTACAAATACATATACAGTGGACCTTCAGATATCTGGACGCCAGATATCCAGATGCTTCAGTTTCGGGACGATTTTTCATCAGAACAGAATTTCTGGGAGTTGAACTATGTTCAATCTCCCTTGGTCATCACGCATTTAACATGAGCTTCACATATCTGGCCAAATTGACTAAGAACCAAAGTGACCAGATAAATGAGGTTCCACTGTATGTATATCTTGTTTGCAAAGGAAGGAGTTTAGTTTAGTAGCAGTAATTGTAATATATACACAGTTTGTTCTCTAGAGTTCTGGTAATCATTTCAGATTTCCTTTGTTTTTCCCCACTGTTCTTTCAAGAATCCAATACATGTAATTAATAGCATTATAATAAAATTCCTGATTTTCTAATATCTTGTACATCTTTCTGCAAAATAACCATATTAGTGGTGCTAAAGTAATAAATCTGTTCATGTACAGACAGAGAATTTAGCCATATTCTAGGTAGAAACTTGATCTTACTTATTATGTGAGTTAGTTGTTATTTTTAACACATATTCCAGAGTATTTAATATACTGTATTTGTTGATTGTATGCTGATTGTTATACTGTTTTATATTTATTATTAATATTAAACTTAATGCCATATTTAATCAACAAGCTACTTGCAAATGAAGAGTGATTTTTTTAAAGATGTAAATTTGTTGAAGCAGGGTCTTTAGCTAGCAAAATAAAAATCATAAAAACAAATTTTAGCTGTTGCCTTATTCAAAACAAATGATAGAGTATGTTTTAACAGGCATTTTATGTGTAATTAAACAAGTCAAAAAAGAATTTGAAACACATGACCAGAGTTCCATATGTTATGTGCTCTACCAGATGTTTCACTTGGCCATTATTAATAGGCTAACCTGAGCATCACATTTCTGTCTCTTTGAATGTCTTTGCCTCAGTCCTACCCCAAACTCATCAGGTTGCAAAGTTCCCTCCTAGAAGGAAGACTGAATTGAGCTTGTCTGATTCATGTAGAAATTTTGATTAGTTGTGTCCTATTGACTAAGCCTGAACCAGTTGGGTTTCAACCAAACTTGGCATAAAGCATGTTTAAAGGGAATTTATTCAAATTATGTCATATTCCATAAAGGAGGTACTTGACAAATGTATGGTGGAACCAGAAATCCAACCCAGGACCCCTACATCAACTCGGGCAGATTTCCATTGCCCAGACCATTACATTCCTCCCTCCTCAAACTGTCTTTACCTCTAAAGACACAACCCAAGTTCTTGTTAGCCCCATGCAGGACTTTAATCTGTAAGTCCAGGGGGTGATTGACACCAAATGGTGTAACAGGAAAGGAGATTATGACTTGTGCTGGTCAGGAATCAAACCGGGGACCCCTACATTACTAGTCAGGTGCTCTACCGACTGAGCTATCCATGCTGATATCCACGGCCTAAACAAATACTGTATGTTATCTGCTGATATTAAGTAAATAATGCAACTTTCTTTTATTAATCAAGTTTTACTTATCAAATGAGTGTGAACACTTTTATGGGGATAATAAATAAATAAGGCTTATTATCTCACCTATCAGTGTTTCAATAAATCTTGAAACAAACAAAATCAGATATAAATTCAATACCTAAGTAATTGTCAATTTATTAAGCATGTACAACAATTCATTTTATAAATAATGTCCATAGTAACAACACTAATATCACAAACAATGAAGGGCACCTTGCAGTGCCAAATCAGGCATAAAATCTCCATACAACCACAGGCACAAACATTTACTCATCTCCGTAAGACCAGGCACCATACACACATAACCACGATGAGATGAAAAGTGTTATATAAAATCAGGTTCATAAAAATCCTACAGAGCTCCAGTGAATTGCACGATTTGTGTTCATTTTGATGTCCGACACAAATGTCTGACTGTCCTTGGCACTTGATAATGCTGGTGTGACGAGCGGTCACTTTGTCTTTATTGGGTCATTAGCAGTGGTCACTATCACGAGGAGCTGGACACGGCCAGTTTCTTCAGATGCTCCATGAAAACCTGTAAACTGACATCATCTGTCAGAACCGCTGCGCCTCCATCCTACAAAATAATTAAGTACTTGGTTAATTAGATTACAATATTAAAAATATCCAGCACTGACATTACTGGTATATTAAACTGTGGTTTTAAACTGGCCTGAAAAAAACTTGAGGAATATTACCCTTGTCCCCTTTAACATGTACCTGTTCATGCTTTATAAACTGTCGGAAAATGCAAAAATTCCATGTAGGTAGAAAATGTACAAGGGGACAGGGGAAGGAGGAAGGGATTTCTACCTGGGGTCCCCTCATATCACAGTACAAAGGAATTAATTTCAGATCATTTCACCAAAATAAACATGCAATATAATGGACAAAAGGAAAGGGAAAAAAAGTTTAAAATAAAGATCTGGAAATTGTGAAGAAGGTAGAGGAACGGGACTTCAAAAATTATCTTTAAAATAATTTTTCTGAGGAAACCTTAATCTTGAAAAACTGATTATTCTGACTCATGGACATAAAAGTCAGATTGACCAAAATACAGCACACTTATAATTTGTTTTGATGGTGTCTGAAGTTATAAACATAGGTAATCAGAGATTACAGAGCTCACCTCAACGAATGTTGTCTTTAAGTAAGGCAAATTAAGTCACACAATTAACCAACAAAAAGTGTACATCCAAAAATGCAAAATTTATGCAATTTTGATACTTTGGAATAGACCTTTATAAAAACTAAAAACTAGTTCTTCATCATGAAAATGTAATTAAAATCAAGCATCTGAAGCAAGACTGAGAGTTTTTATCCCTTGATGCATCATTTAAGCAACTGGTTTATATAAGCCTTATAGCTTCTTGGTGATAGACTTGCACCCATAACTTTTATGAGGTCTATTATCTGGAAAATGTATGTCGAATTCAGCATCTGAAGCAAGTCCATTAGTGTGCATCCTAAGATGTATCATCCATGCAAGTTTGGTCAACATAGGTCTTAAAGTTACTTACAAATGAAACCTGTATAAAATAATTAACCTTTCCACTAATCCAGAAAATGTAGGTCAGATTCAGCATCCGAAGCCAGCCTAGTAAAATGCACCCTTAGATGTACCATCCATGCAAGTTTGGTCATTATAGGGCTCAAAGTTACTTAGAAATGAATCCTGCACCATAAACTTTAACCTGTTTACTCGTCCAGAAAATGTAGGTCAGATTCAGCATCCGAAGCAAGTCTGGTAGTATGCATCCTAAGATGTACCATCCATGCAATTTAGTCATTATAGGGTTCATAGTACACTGTACCTTGAAAATGAAACCTTCACCAAAAACTTTAACCTGTTCACTCAACCGGAAAATGTAAGTCAGATTCAGCATCCGAGCAAGGCTGGTAGTATGCATCCTAAGATGTATCATCCATGTAAGTTTGGTCATTATATGTCTCATAGTAACTTGGAAATGAAACCTGCACCAAAAACTTTAACCTGTTCACTCAACCGGAAAATGTAGGTCAGATTCAGCATCCGAAGCAAGTCTAGTAGAATACATCCTAAGATGTACCATCCATGCATGTTTGGTCATTATAGGGCTCAAAGTATCTTTGAAATGAAAGCTTCACCAAAAACTTTAACCTGTTCACTCAACCGGAAAATGTAGGTCAGATTCAGCATCTGAAGCAAGTCTAGTAGAATACATCCTAAGATGTACCATCCATGCAAGTTTGGTCATTATAGGGCTCAAAGTATCTTCGAAATGAAACCTTCACCAAAAACTTTAACCTGTTCACTCAACCAGATGTAGGTCAGATTCATCATCCGAAGCAAAGCTGGTAGTATGCATCCTAAGATGTATCATCCATGTAAGTTTGGTCATTATATGTCTCATAGTAACTTGGAAATGAAACCTGCACCAAAAACTTTAACCTGTTCACTCAACCAGAAAATGTAGGTCAGATTCAGCATCCATAGCAAGTCTACTAGAATACATCCTAAGATGTACCATCCATGCATGTTTGGTCATTATAGGGCTCAAAGTATCTTCGAAATGAAACCTTCACCAAAAACTTTAACCTGTTCACTCAACCGGAAAATGTAGGTCAGATTCAGCATCAGAAGCAAGGCTGGTAGTATGCATCCTAAGATGTATCATCCATGTTAGTTTGGTCATTATATGTCTCATAGTAACTTGGAAATGAAACCTGCACCAAAAACTTTAACCTGTTCACTCAACCGGAAAATGTAGGTCAGATTCAGCATCCGAAGCAAGGCTGGTAGCATGCATCCTAAGATGTATCATCCATGTTAGTTTGGTCATTATATGTCTCATAGTACTTGGAAATGAAACCTGCACCAAAAACTTTAACCTGTTCACTCAACCGGAAAATGTAGGTCAGATTCAGCATCTGAAGCAAGTCTAGTAGAATACATCTTAAGATGTACCATCCATGCAAGTTTGGTCATTAAAGGGCTCAAAGTATCTTCGAAATGAAACCTTCACCAAAAACTTTAACCTGTTCACTCAACCGGAAAATGTAGGTCAGATTCAGCATCCGAAGCAAGGCTGGTAGTATGCATCCTAAGATGTATCATCCATGTAAGTTTGGTCAACATAGGGCTTATAGTTACTCGGAAATGAGACCTACACCAAAAACTGCACCAAAAATGTTAACCTGCACCAAAAACATTAACCTGGTCATTCCTTTGCTGAAATTGCAGCATCTGAAACTTTGACTGGTACAATGAAACACAGTAGCAACATCTTCCATGCATGTCTAATCAATGTACGACATAGAAGTACTTAAAAAGAAAACTGCTCCAAAAAACTTAACCGTAACCCAGGACGCCGACGCCGAGGGCATCACATAAGCTCCCCCCAACTTCGCTGAGGTGAGCTAAAAAAGGGTCTTCTATGTACAATACATATGATTTTAAGTGTGCTGTATTTTGGTCAATCTGACTATTTCAGAGAGAAAATTCTATGTAGTGTTTATATGTGCCTTATTTGATACTTACAAATGACACAAAACAGTTTCATGCACTAAAACACTGTTAACCATTTTTTTTCTTTCAAAAAACTTATATTTGAGAATACAACACTCTCTTTCAAAGTCAAAATTTATTTTGAATCCAAAGCTGTTCCAATTACCGGTAAATAAATGTACATACATGTAATGAAAACATCCTGATGTGCAAATACATGTACATTGTACCTATATGTATAATGAAAACTTCTTTATTTTACAAAATATACCCATATTTTCTGAAACATTCCTGGGGGTATATCTTATTAAATCCTTAAAGTGGGGAAATTCATAATGTTGCAAGTATTTCATTTAAGTGTTTCCCTTTGAATTGAAACATGTATAGATACAAAATGTACAAGCACATGAATAAAACCTTAGGCCATAGACATCAATACCAATACCACATGCATTTCCCCATGTTCATGCTACACCGAAATAACCCCATGTTAAATACCTGGTACGAATCAGAGGATGTTATAATCTATAACAAAGGAACAGCTTTTATCTGTGTCCAAATCTTAAAACATTCAACTTTATTTCTGAATCAGCTGAGTGGAAATTAATGCTGAACCACCTGTGTTTTTTTTTGGCAGAATTAAGACAATTTATATCTACCGACACACCACTACTTTCTCCTGAATTTACATGTACTTTGTAAAAATAATAAGACACAGAGAACTTATACAAACCATTCCAGAGGATTGCTGATAAAGAGGAAAAAAGATGAACATATGAGATGAAAAGATATTGTACTAGGTTCACTTGAATGATTAATTTGAAAGTGTGTGTACTGCAAACATGATCAATGAATGTATTACTTTAATGTATTTTTAGCTGCACAGTCACACATTTCATGCATGCTTATTCTGAGGTTTGTAAGGAAGTGAGATATAATCTTTACCTGACCCCATCCGTAGGCGTTGTTGTGGGTCTGTGATGGATTGACTCGTGAGAGCAAGAAACGGGACTGAAAAATAAATAATATCATCTTACATTTCAACTTACTGAAAATAAAGCACTTTTTATTTTATAAACAACAAGAAATGCACTGTATGTTAAAACAATTATCCAAAAGTAAAATCTACTTTTAGTATAATTCTCAGACACCATTTTACCCCTACAAAGGGGAATAAGCATAACCTTTTTTCACCTCACATGACCTTTCCTGATTTGAATATGTAATTTTACCTGTGACCCGTCATGCTCGGTGTCGATGTACCGCGGCATCGGGAACCTGGTCTGTAGGATTTCCTGGGCGTCGTCCACCGGAGCGTTGAGGAGCTGTTTAAAGTTCTCATATTCTGGCTGATCTTGGTATCCCTGCTTCCTCCATAACGCAATTGTCTGTACAACAAAAAATCACATAAGAGATCCTCAGAGTGACAAACACAATGTCAGTGTGTTCTGTATACAGGTTATTTTCACTCTTTCTTATTTATGCTCAGAAGAGTTGTATTACAAGGGAGATAATTCTGTTGAATTTGCCCCCTTTAAGTTTGCCTTTTAACTTAAATGGCGGGGGGAGGAAGATGAGGGCAAAAATTGATGAGTACAATATGTAACTAAATGACACATTACTGATTCCATTGGCAACTTTAATTAAATCTTCATGTAACAATTGTGCCAACTTCCTGCCCAGTGTAGTCTTCCTCTAATTTTTATCTATTGGTATTTATCTTTACCTCTCCGTGGTACAACACGATCTGGAAGAATGTATCCATGAGTAGGATCCTGTCGGGCTGTATACTGCTGGTGTCTAGTAGGACGGGCTCGGGCGTCCCGTTAAAGGAGTAGGCGTACAGTATAGGCTGGATCATAATCAGGGACTGGGTCAGGTCCTCCACATTCAACATGTGTCTACAAGGTCAAGGGTTACAATGTTAAAGGTTAACATTAGTTACTACAGGATGGCTGAATTCTACATTCAATATGTGTCTACAAGGTCAAGAGTTCACATTAGTTAAACTGTTAGAAATATAATACAGGATGATTGAATTCTAGTCTTCTACATTCAACATGTGTCTACAAGGGCAAGGGTTAACAGATGATAAATGTTTGAAAATAACACAGGTAAATGACTTCAAGAAACCTTTTAAATGATTAAATTCTTAAGGGTAAGATTTTTCTTTGAGAGAAAGACAAAGCTTTCAATACATGCAAGCAAATCATCATTAAATTAGGGAATGAAATTCCTGACTTGACACCTTGATAAAAACAATACCTACCTGTAGTATGAAGTTTCATCGGGACTGTTGTTGAAAACTTGTAAAAACTGTGACCGTCTTAAATGGAACATGAATTGTGGGTACAGGGAGAAATTATCAGAAAATCGGAATGAGTTAGGATCATCTTTATGGTAATCTCCAAACTTCTGACACTGAAACCAAACAAAAGTTTGTTTAAAATAAATGTCTGGAAATTATTTTGCCACTGAATCAAATATATGTCATGTACCATAATATATACCTTAAATCTATCATATCATAATTTTGCCCCTGCATGAAAAATACGTCATGCACGAGTATTTTGATTTTTTTCATAATGATATTAAACTCTGTTACACCCCACCTCCATTTGTATATTTTATTTGTATCTGCCAACAATTTTTCTATATTCATTTCCAGTAACCCCCCGTCAGACTTACAAGTCTGATCAACATTCTGTCTAGCCATCTCAGGACGTCAGGACCATCGTCCGTCTCCGCCCTGAACACCGCCATTCTTGCCATCAGCACCGCCGCCGCCTCCTGATCAAAACCTGCCGCGATGTGCTGGATGTTTGTACTCGCATCAGCCCAACTAAAAAGAACAGCCAGTTAATAAATCAGTGCCTTTAGACAACTATAAACCATTATATAGATTAGCTACATGTGTTTGTTCTAAACAAAATTCTGGGACTATTTTAACCTGAAAGTAATACATGAATTTCTACATTTTATTGGTTAGTTTGTATATTAGCATTAACTTTGACTGTGACCTACTTTCTGGCCAGTGTGGTGACCCTGACCCTGCGCTGTCCACTAGAATGTTGATACTGTGTGATAAACTGTAGGTACCCTCGGCCACCTTGTGGTATTGGGGCATTGTGCTGGAAATCAACAAAGTAAAAACATATAAAATACACATTTATATCACAACTTTGATCGGCAATTACTACCGGTAAATATTATGTTATTTTTCAAAGCTGATTAAGCAATATATTAAAAAGTTTTAACAAAGATAGCTATATGAACATTACAGAAACTTTAAGGTACCTGACTGACAACTTCAAAGAAGAGGGCGAGGGTACTGTTAGGGTAGAGCCCACACATCTTCCACTGACAGGTGCCCCCCAGTCCCATCTCTGTGTCAGACACACACGGACCCTTCACCCCCAGGGACACGCACGGTCCGATAGCTCCCGACACCTTCAGTTCTCTAGAGGTCTGTGAAAATAAAAAATTAATTTTGATAAAATCTGTCATTTTAGAAAAATGGATATTGGAGAATGAATCAATTTTGTAACAAGTGGAGTAAACTTATTGCATTCAAACTGCAAGTACTTGTTTTAAATTCCATACATTAGAATACTGATTAAGATTTAAAGGGACAGAACTCCCTCCTACCTTGATCTCTACAGTAGCACCGAACCCCATCTTGAACTCCCCTTTGGCGTCCTTGGAGAAGACCCTCTGGAATGTCTGTTTAAATAGGGAGGTGTTAAAGGAATCCCCCATCACCATGTGACCTCTGTAAACAAGGAAACAATGACGGCCTCTCACTTACAAGAAAAACAACAAAATTAAATCAGTGATCACACTCATTTACAAGAAAAACAACAAAATTACACCAATGATGCACACTCACTAACACAATGATAACATGACAACATTTGACGGATGTCCTCTGTATGGCTTACCCTGTGTATCGAGGACAAAACTTCATCTCGTGTAACCCGGTCTGATCCAGAGCACAGGCGTATATATCAACCACATGACCGTTCTTAGCGGACCTATTGGCCAACATCTCATAGTGCTGAAAAATGAAGAGGATTACGTAAAATATATATTTATGATCACTGCTTCTTTTAGTGGACATTTAGCTTGTCCTAAAAATGAAATGTGTACAGTTTATTCACAGATACATGTAAGCAGTACAAAGCTGCATCTAGCTCTACACTTAATAAGTCTATTCATTCATTCATAACAGAAGCATGAATGGTTGGGCAATAGACTGAACAGTGAACATACTGTACAGAACAGCAAGAATCTTTCAAACCATATTTTTCAATATAACAAATGTCACATTCTCGTAAAAAATACCCTAGTAGTCTGTATATATACATACCTTCCTCATATTTTTCTGTACCATTATTTATGCAGATCTATCTCTATAACATTAACTTCACGGCCTTCTTCATGTACTTTACCCTTTTCCTATGTCTTCCTGTATTATCATTTAGTGTCCTATTTCAATCTAGTTCTCTGTACTATTATTTATAGTCTCCTAATGTTACCTTCATGACCTTCTCACTTTCTGATCTTTTTCTATGTTTTTCTGTACTATTATTTACAGTACCCTATCTCTATAGCCTTACCTTCATAGCCTTCTTCATGTACTTGACATTGTCTTTCTCGATGTCCAGATGTTTTCTGATTGGGTTTTTCAGTTCATCGTCCACCACCATTCCAGGTCCCTGTGTGCACGGCCCACCAGCAAACAGCATGATCCGTGCCCCAGTGTTGGGAAATGTGCACTGTAAGTAAGTATCAACTTACTCTAAACCAACATTTAATTCCATGCTAGAAAAACTTATTAGTTTTTTCCAGCTTCTTTTATTCACAATATTGCCAAAAACATTTTTTAAATCGTGTACTCATGTAAATTTTTTCTCTCACAAAAATGAATGGTCATTGCTGAATTTCAAACTGATGAATTTCACGTCAAAGTGTTAGATATATATCTTTTGTTTTAGATCGATAGCTTTTGTCAATCAAAAAATTTACAAATCAAACTTTATTATTTGAAAGTACCAGTGACCAGAAGTTGATAGTTATGAAAAATAATCCTTAAAAAGCTAGTTGTTACACAAACAGCACTGTGATTAAATACATAAGATGATCTACGTACCTCTAGGAGCCCCACAGCTATAGACAGAGCTACCCCTGTGGACCTGAGGGGCCTCTTTCCCTGGGACACGGGCCAGGGGTCCCTCTGTAACTCCCCCAGTAAATCTGTCAGGTTCATGTCACACTTGTGGACAGGCTGCAGGAATCTGTCAAAATAAATCAATACTTCATCAACAAAATTAAGGCTGTTTGCATTTTTATTGTAGCATTAAAAGCATGTTTGAGAAAAGGATGAACCCTTGGAATAAATCTTGATATTGACCTATTGGAGGGCAACTGTTGCTGTTGTTGCTGCTGCTGTGGACCTCTTTGTTGCTGTGTTGCACCACCTCTTTGTAAACCCAACATTTCCTACAAAAAGCACAATGCGACCTGTTGTAACACATAAAAGATCTTAATGCATTCATCTGCCAATCTTACAAATGACCATTTTAATTAACTGACTTGATGCATACCTGAATTTGTTTGGCTGTTAAATCTTTGGTTCCCCTAAAAACATAACTCTTGGAGCAGCCTTCACAGCCGAGCTCGTGAACTTGGACCATTTTTCCGTAAGTGATTAAACCAATCAGGGCGTTTGGTGGCAGCAAGCTTAGTGACATTTGTAGAGATTCCTAAGATGCACAATTTCATATTTAAAATCTGATCGCCATCAATTCAAAAAGAAAATAAAACATCACATTATTGTTTATTATTGAAAATTTTTCCTTCTAGTCCATTTACCAATATTTACATTCGCTGTGTTTTTCTAGTAAGCTTACTGTGAAATTGATTTAAAAACCATTTTCGTGTATACTCACTCGTAGAAATATACACAGAGAAACGTGCGTTAACGTGACGTCACAATCAGTCTGCAGCGACGTTAGTAAAAACGCAACGATATAGGGCAGCGAGAAATTCAAATATTTAGCATATTTTAGTTGCTTCCAAACATGTAAAATGTAAATATAAGGAATGTTTTTCAGTTTAGTGTGAATTATTGGTGTGTGAATCACACAGACTTGCACATAGGCATATTTTTCATGAAGCGCTAGTGCGCATCATGAAATATGCCTACGTGACAAGTCTGTGTGATTTACACACCAATAACTGACACAAAACTGAAAAACATTCCTTAAATATACATCTTAAACTAGATGAATTTTCAAACCAACCTTAACTGCCTGTAAATCCTCTTCATCCATACATGTGTCTAAAACTATCAGGAAAACTGGAGGGTGGCAGGTAGCTCTCTATACACAAGAACAATATTGTATCTTATAACATGTTTATAAACTTGGACATTGGTCTTGATACATTTTTTTTTTCATATGCAGTGTAATATTTTAGAGTTCTAACTGATGACAAAAATTGTTTTTAAACATATTCTTAAACTGTCCAGGGACAATTACAGTAGCATATGTAAATCTACAGAAAACTCACTGTAATTGTGTATTCCAGGGTAGAGAACTGGGGTATAATCTCAGCAGGCTGATGTTGATCTGATATTGCGGCATACTGCGGAGGAAACTGAAACAAACAAAAACAACAATATTTACACTGATTAAAGGCAAAATACTTTCTTTTACATTAAATTACAACAGTATACATGAGATTTGTTCTATTTTTCTGAGTAATATACATTACTTGTAATGTATTTAACTGTGTGTGAACATATTTTTTGGTAAATAAATCTTTATAATCAAGACATAAATTCATTTGAAAAGCTTCACAAAAAGTAATTACTGGGTTTCTTTGGAAGCAGAAGTTGCAGGCCCAGACTTTAGCTCTGTAATCGACCTGACAGAAGGGATTGAGGATGGCGCGACACGTGGGTCTGGTACACAGAACCGGGTCGTACTGGATTGGGGGGAGATCTGGACGCTCCTTCAGCGGTGTAAACAGGCACCCCAGGGGGACCACCATACGGGTGGCCTCTATACGACTGGACGGCCATACATTCCAGCTGAATCTCACTCCATCCCTGTCCTCGTTCTGCTGTATAAATTCCTGATAGGTAGCCATTGGGTACCTAAAAATAAGAGTCAAATTTGAAATCAATTGAACAAATGCATTTAAACTTGAAATGCATTGATATATAATCAATCTAAATATAAATCATATGATATAATTCTCCAATAAGTTAACTTATTCATGTACAAGGATACCGGTTTCTGATGTTGACAAAAAAATGACAATTTACCCTCCTTTCCCATTTACAATCACCCTCATCTTGCCGTAGACGTTAAATAGACAATATAATGTGTTGTATACATGAAACTGTTTGGTTGCTTACCTCCAACAAAAACCTGGTTACGTGTTAATATTTCGTTCACGTCAAAAACAACCTTTTCCAGACAACCTGGAAGTTGGAAAATGCCACGTAGTTTCCCACAATTCAACAAAATACGTCATTGGGGAACCCTTTTCCGGGCTTAGATAGATCGTACGTAAAAGAGAGCCAAAAGGAACGGAGTCACAGGACATAGGAGTATGCAGTTATGTCGCATTTTGTAGTGGCAGTACATTGTGGTACTTTGTTTTATTTTCAATATTTCAGTAGTAATGACATATTTCTTGAGTTTATATGTGTAGTCGTCTTTCCCAGCTGGTCCTGATGCAGAATCTGGACCTCGCACGAAGGACGGTTCCTACACTCACAGTCTCAGACATTTTCGCCCCCTGGATGTTTTATACCACCTCTCATTTTCTAAATGTACGAAGTTATTATCTTAACACTATGGAAATATGGCTAAAAAAAATAGAAATATATTCATCGTGCATATTATACAAACTGGGTTTTAAAAAATCTAAAATAAAATTAAAAAATGAATGTAAAATCACTAAATTCAGCTAGGCCTACATAGCTTAATTTACCTATATATGTTTATTTACCTATTAAATATAGCTTTATTCAGCTATTTTGGAATAAGTTTTTGTTTTATGAAAAGCAGACAAAAAGTCGCATGTAAAGAATGGCTGATATATTTTTTAAATGGTTTGATAAAAACAACCTAGGGCATAGACAGTAAAAACATTGCCTCTTATAAACATTTTTTAACCAAAAAATGCATCTCTATTGTTTGGATAGCTGGAAGTGCGATGAGGCATGACTAAGTAGTGATGGGAATCGGTAAAATTTTCATAATAGATGATTGGGTTACTCTAAGTAACTAATTATCGATTATAATCGGACATGTAAAAAGTATATCAATTTGAACTAGTATAAATGGTAAGAATGGGTTATAGAACCAAAAGAACGTCCATGTCCAGAAACATGGTTTGTTATCCGGGTAGAAATACAAGAGTTAATGTTTATCTGTACCATTACGTTACACAAAAATGTCAAAAGCAATTCTGTGGATGGAAAATCAGGGTAAAAAATTATAATGCTTGTAAAATAAAATAATAAACCGATTAATCAGAATTTTAAAAATGCAATCGATTGCTTGGATTATGTCAGCAATGGACTGATTTTCGATTATAATCGATGATTGGAACACCACTATGCCTAAGTATGATACTGCTTTGCAATGTGCTCAATTATCACCAATCAATTATCTTGTTGACTAAAACTGCTTTCCTTTGTTAAAGTAGCTGCTTATTCACAGATTAAGTGTTAAACATTTTAGATCCTTGACTGCAATTTTACAAAAGGAGAAACAATTTTATAAGTGGGTTTTTGATGAATTGTTTTCAGTCCATTTCAAAGTAGACAAGCAAATTCAAAGAATTGTGGTCCCCCGCTTTCGGTGTCTTTGTGGGTGAGATGTTATCTTTATGACATATTGTGTGTAATATGAACATCCTATCATATGTCATTTATTTAGAAAGTAACATTGAAGTTGATTTTTTTAATGATGAAAACCCTAATCCTGACCATTAAAAGTTATGGCCAAAGTAAAAAGTTTTTTAAAAGTAGGTCAACTCCAAGGTCAAGATCAAAGGGTCAAAATTAATGATATCCAATGAAATGTTTTCTCATAAGGATTACATATATGAAGTATGAAAGCCCTAGCCCTTACTGTTCAAAATTTATTATCGATGTTAAAGTTTTTTTCATAAGTACGTAAATCTTTAAGGTCAAGGTCAAATGACCAAAGTTGTTGATATCCAATGAAAGGACTTGCCACAAAGAATACATATTTAAAATATAATAGTCCTAGTATTTACCGTTCAAAAGTTGTGTTCAAAGTTGAAGGTTTTTTTTTAAAGTACCCATACCAAAAAAAGGTACAGATTAGGCATGCCTATTCTTGATAAATATAGGCACAAAAAAGGTATACCTAAAGTATACAAGTTTGGAACCACTTCTTCAAGTATAGGTAGCAAATTGGTACAAAAAAGGCATACTAAAGGTATACTTTTCAATGATTCATTTTTTTCTATTTCACATATAGGTACATTTTAGGCACACATAAAACATTAGATTGAGCAGTGAGGCATACCTAAAGTATGCCTATACATAGTATGGCATATAATTCTAACAGTCAGATAGGTACATTTTAGGTATACCTAAAAGGTGCCTACATATCAATCTATTAGGTACCTTCAAGGCTGTGCCAAAAGTATGCCAGAGGTATACCAAAAGTATACCTACAAGGTACCTATATTGTACCAAAAGCATTAATAGGCACATTTTAGGTACTAAAAAAGCACAATATTGGCACATCATCTAACTATACCAGTAGGTACATTCCAGGCATACCTAAAAAGTGCCTACATATCAATCTATTAGGTACCTTCAAGGCTGTGCCAAAAGTATGCCAGAGGTATACCAAAAGTATACCTACAAGGTACCTATATTGTACCAAAAGCATTAATAGGCACATTTTAGGTACTAAAAAAGCACAATATTGGCACACCATCTAACTAGACCAGTAGGTACATTCCAGGCATACCTAAAAAGTGCCCACATATCAATCTATTAGGTACCTTCAAGGCTGTGCCAAAAGTATGCCAGAGGTATACCAAAAGTATACCTACAAGGTACCTATATTGTACCAAAATCATTAATAGGCACATTTTAGGTACTAAAAAAGCACAATATTGGCACACCGCATAACTAAACAAAAAGGTACATTTTAGGCATATCAAAAAATGGGCTTTTGTCGACAAATCAACCACAAAACCCTGGAGTTAAAAATTTCTTTCTCCATCAAAATTTTTTTAATTTTTGGCCTAACATGAAAAATACATACTTATCATTCCTTGTGAATGGGACAGGACTATATCAAGGAAGAATTTAACAATAATTATCAGGTTCAAGTAAAAACAAGTAAAAATTTATTATATGATGCTACATGAAAATATATATGAAAAATAACTATTTTAAATCCTCTCTATAAACGGAATCTATATATGACAAATCTCCTATATTTAAAAAAAAATTAATATTGTTACCTTTAACAAAATAATGATATTTGTAATATCATTCTTTGCAAGAAAAAAATAAACACACCTTTTCAGCATATACAAAACATAATTAATGCAATGTAAATACACAAAGACATCGTAAAGGTATTGAAAGTATACTCCATTTCATGTCCTTTTTTTTGGCCACACATTATTCACTTGCTGCATGTGCAATTCATGTAATCTTCATTACTTTCATAGAGTTTTTACCCAATTGGCACCACAGAATTTTCTGCACAGTAATAGACCTTTTACCAGGGTAAATACTCATTTCTGTACAGTTGCGATTTTCATCCGGACTCCTTATAAAAATTGATCCTCCATTTGAATGTACCACGCAATTCCTTCTTTCATGCCATTCCCTTCAATTCTGAAAAAGTTGTTGCTCTTGAGTCTTCACTTTGAAATTATTTTCAAAAATATTAAATCCAATGTGTGAATGTATAGGGGAGGGAGGGGTCCGTGGAGTCTGGAACTTCCTTCCTACTTGCATTATGTATATATTATGTAATTAAATGTATATATATACTTATTCAATTAAAAGTGATTTGGACACTCCCCCCCCTTTACCCTGTTACGATCTGCATCTGAAATTCCTAAAATTTACAATGGAGTTTGAAAAGTGGTGATTAATTTTACTAAATTACTATATTTATATTTTTTTTTCAAATCAGATTAGATTTCATACTTACTGACAGAGTTATAGTCTTTATGCATTTCCCCCAAGTTTAGAATGACTACAGGGGACAAGAATTTTGCTGAAAAAGAAAGTTTGTTCATGAAATTATCTGACATTATTATTAACAAAGTTTACACTAATTTGTATACATAATATTTTTTAAATATAATACTGAAACATTGTCACTCTGAAATAAATTATGTGTGTCATACCCCCCCCCCCCCCCCCCTTCATTTTCCCTGGCATGAACCAAGTGGAGAGATGGGGTTTAAATGATTTTATGTAAACTTATAACATAAATTCAAATCAGTTAATTTTGTTATACTATGTTTTATAAATGCTGTAATTTTGATACTTTAAATTAAAACTATTACATGTAAGAACCCCCCCCCCCATTTTTTTTTTTTAAATAGTGCCTTTACTTTATATTTCAAATTTCATATGCCGATGATTAAATTTTCACACTGATCATTTGAATTTCTGTTTGTTATTATCGCCATGCTCATGCAGAGGCTACTGTACATAACCTGTTCCCGCGATATTGACACGTTAATTACTGGTATTATTTTTTTTTAAAAGACTCTGAAACTGTGAAACACTTTTTATGTCTTGTTACACATCAGGTTAAACAAAATAATTATTATCTATATGTCTTCACTTCATGTGTAGGCTGTAGCACTGGCTACACGGCCATCTTGAATCAAAACAAACCAAAAATCTACGGTACAATTACCTAGAACTTCGTAAAATTTACACTTGATATTCACATTCTAATGCATTCTTTACGTGCACAAATACACTAACAACAAGCAGCATGAAAATTTACACTGAAATAAAGACTTACCGAACTATAATTCTCCGATTTCTTTTTGAGGCTTTCATCTCGGCAAATTTTCAAAACGTCTCAGAAATGTCCGCGCTCTCCACTGACCAATCGTAGACTTCGCTGGAGTCACGTGATTTTATTAAAATTTATTAAATTATTCATAAAATATTTCGTGTAAACAATTTATAATTATAACAATGAACATTTAACAATTATTTAATGAAGCCCCAACTTAAACTGAAAGCCGATTGCGAAGAAATCCTAGAAATTTAGCGTGGCTATTTTGGGCAAATAATTGAACCGCCATCTTGACCGCCATTACTATTTTGTGTTTGTTTACATAACAAATCACCCTCAAATTGATTAGGCCCCCTATTTTTTTTTTAATTATTCATAATTTTCTTTCATGTTAGATTTCAACTATAAAATCTTAATTAATCTAACTGACACCAGAGATTGAAACAAACATCGAAATACATGTATGTAAATTATTACAGTATACAATCCATAAATGCCTAGTATGTGAACATGGTGAATAATTATAAATAATAAGCACCTGTATTTTGTGCATCTTGGGGGCTATTATTTGTATGAAAATTCTGTAAATGTACACTTTTTTTTTTTACTGCTACTGCCTAACTACCGGCAAAGACCTATATACTACCAGTATATAGGTCCCTGCTACCGGTAAAAGTTAAAGCATCTCTATTTATTTCATTCTGTAATTTATTCTTCTGTATTTTACCCATTCATGTTGAGCTGAAAAATCTAATGAAATCACCGTTTTGTCATGTTTGTGGTTTGTGGAGAACTACATGTGATACACTAACAATTTCTGCAGGGTGAAGGTCATCCGGTATTAACACCGAATACTGAGGAAATCGACATCGTTTTGCATTCAAAGATAAACAAAGTCTATTTCAAAATACATCAGTAACTGGTCTAATGGATATAAATTCTCACCCTATAAAATTAATCTAAACATCCCAAACATTTTTGTAGTTACAAAATGTACGAGAGAGAGAGAGAGAGAGAGAGATGCAGTGATCGCGTAATGGGACCTCTACTGGACATAGAGATGTGTATATAAATTTTATTAATGATAATTTATCATAAAAAGTTGTATCTGTTACAACTAGAGGGGTTTGCTAGCAAACCTGGTTTTGAAAAAAAAAAATGTATTTAGTTTTTAAAACGTTTTATATCTTAATAGTTTATCAGTTTATTCACATAGTTAAAACATTCATTTATCATTAAATATTTAAGAGCAAAAGAAATTAAAGAATTATACTGCAAGAATAATACAGAGAAGCATCGTAACTAAGCAGATTTGGCTGTTGGTTACACGACTTTGTGTCCACTTCACTAGGTGCATGGACTAAACCTGATCTCTCTGTGGATTACCTGTGTATTGTATCCGTTCAAGCGGAAAGTGATTTCCTGTCTGACAGTCTCTAATTGACATATTTCACAGTATTGCAGAATTAGTTTTATAAATGCAAAAACTTGATAAAATGACATGTAAAAAAAAAAATAATAATAATTTAGCAAGTGCGTGTGTAGTGGGGGGGGGGGGGGTGTTAATGGTCAATATAATTGTATAGTGTTTATAAGACAATCCCCTATGTCTTAGAGAATGTTAATCAAAGTTACTAAGAACTGACACTCTTTAAGACAAACTAGTGCATATTTTAAGAACAGAAATGGATCTTTACCTTTTATTTTCCGTAAGAAGATTAATTGAATAAATGATAATTACATATTTGGCATTTGAGAGTAACAATGTTATCACCCCTCCCCATTTTTTCTTTCCACAACACCGCTATATATTATACTGAGGACTTGAAATAATGATGTGAAATCTGAAGTACCAGGTATATAATGTTATTAAAAATTAAATGCACAAAATGTTGAATGATAATTCAACCCCAGCCCCCTACAACCCACCCCACCCACACCCAGATACAAAGAACCAGTCATCTAAAAAAGTATTTAAATTCAGACATTTTGAAAAATGACTGAGTCCAAAGTAGGTACATTTTATGCACACTGGAAAATATTTAAGTTCAACATAGGTACATTTCTGGCACACTGAAAAATGACAAAGTTCATAGTAGGTAAGATGGAAAATATCTAAGTTCAAAATAGGTACATTCTAGGCACACTGAAAAATGACAAAGTCTAAAGTAGGCACATTTCAGGCACACTGTAAAATGACAAAGTCCAAATTAGGTACATTTTAGGTACACTGAAAAATGACAAAGTCTAAAGTAGGCACATTTCAGGCACACTGTAAAATGACAAAGTCCAAATTAGGTACATTTTAGGTACACTAGAAAAAAATAAAGTTCATTTTTGGTACAGAATAGGTATGCCTTTTCTGTACCTATAATAGTAGGTACACATTAGGCACAGAAAAGGCACAAAAAAGGTATGCCTATATGTACCTTTTTTTTGTATGGGTAGTTAAAACTCCAATGTCAAGGTCAAAGGGTAAAAGTTGTTGGTATCCAATGAAGGTCTTCTCAAAAGGAAAACATATGTGAACTACGAAAGCCCTAGCCCCCACCGTTCAAAAGTTATGGTCAAGGTTAAAGATTTTTCATAAGTACGTAAATCTCCAAGGTCAAGGTCAAAAGGTCAAGGTTGTTGATATCCAATGAAATGTCTTGCCACAAGGAATACATATGTGAAATATTAAAGTCCGACTATCTAATGGTTAAATGTTGTGACCAAGGTTAAAGTTTTTAAAAAGTAATTAAAACTCCAAGGTCAAGGTCAAACGGTAAAAGTGAAAGGTCTTCTCACAGGGATTACATATGTAAAGTACAAAAGCCCTAGCCCCCACCGTTCAAAAGTTCTGGTCAAGGTTAAAGTTTTTTAATAAGTACGTAAATCTCCAAGGTCAAGGTCAAAAGGTCAAGGTTGTTGTTATCCAATGAAAGATTTTGCCACAAACAATACATATATGAAATATGAAAGTCCTAGTACCTACTATTCAAAAGTTATGGCCAAAGTAAAAGTTTGAAATTTTTGTGTAAAAGTGGGTCAAACTCCAAGGTCAAGGTCAAAAGGTCAGATTTGGGTAGGATTTCATTTGTCATACTGGCGTACGCCGAATGCGCCGCTTGACCTTTCCTAACCCGGCTTGTTACTTCATTTGACCGGGGAAGGTTCGCCGGCGTACGCCGAATGCGCCGGTCTGAAATGACCGGCGAGGAGATCGCCGGTCTTAGAAATATGGCGGGAAGAGAAAACAATTGTGAAAATGCAGATACTTTTTAACAGATCGACATGTTCTTTATTTGTTTGCATATTTTGAGCAAATCTGTATTCATATAATTAAAATATGTTTTTATTTTCTGAAAAATAAAATTTTTCATGAGGTCCATGGTTTTATTTTAAATTGAATTTCGAATTATTCTAACTAAGATATAATGTAAAAAATGGTAAAACTTAATTAATTGATTATCATTTAGCGTAATTATTCAATTTTTAAAAATGTTTTCGCCGGTTTACTTCATTTGCCTCTTAGCCGTTCTACGCCGGTCATATGACCGGCGCAATTCGGCGTACGCCGATCAGTGACAAATGAAACTGACCCTTGGTGATACCCAAAGAAAGGTCTTGTCACAAGGAATACACATGTGAAATATGAAAGTCATAGCTCCACTAAATCAAAAGTTATGGGCAAGGTTAAAGTTTTTGTGACGGACAGACTGACGGACAGACGAATGAGATTTTATATCCCCTCGCTTTCACGAAAGCGGGGGACAAAAACTAATATTGCCTCATTATGTGACTTTTTGTCTGCTTTTCATAAAACAGAAATTTACTCTGAAATAGCTAAATAAAGCTATATTTCATAGGTAGATAAACCTATATAGGTAAATTAAGCTATATAATAAAAGAGCAATATATGGTAAGTGTCTCAAATGGCCCCCTAAAATGAATATCTTACTTTCAATTTATATATATAGCTTTATTTTGCACAGCTATACATGTGACCTATATTGTTAATTTTCAGTTTCATCAAAATGCCGTTAATATAGAAATATGACATCATAAAGTTCATGTTTTCCCGCAATTTTAGCATATTTTGTATGAAAATGCTTATTTTTAAGCAGTTTTTCTTCCAGAAAATATTGAGTGCAATCTAGAACATACTTTAATTTTTTACCAAAGATGTATCTATTCAATACTAATTACTGACAGAAAAACTATGCATGTTCTACAATGCGCACTATGTTTCCCATAAGAAAAAACATCAAGAAAAAGATGTATTTATGGCTTTTTCGGGTAGATATATAAAAAGTGTTATTTCTGTCATCATGTATACATGTAGCTAGTGAGTGCATATAAATGTGAAAAATATATCGGAAATATATCTAATATAATCTTTTCTACGAAATAAATATCAATTAAACATATCTGAATGTCATTCTAAAATGCTGATTTTTAGGGGGCCAAAATTGGCTCTTAACATACATAATCCTTTATTGGTTTTCCTGGACGTCACCTGGTAAAGGGAGAAGTGTATGTAACAGAGTTAAAAGTGACTGTCAGTGTGTTATATGTAGTGAGGCCACGTTCCTACTAGCACTAAGCTACAGTGAAACTTGGTAATAACACAAACATGGATATTGCTAATTCAGGGATATAGCGAAGGTATCTTGGATCCCCGGCTATATGAATTTAACGAATTTATTATACGGATATAACAAATTACAGATATAGGGAGGTAATATCATACAGTATGTGACCATAAGTGAGTCAGAATTGCATTTTTACGCTATATATTTCATTGTAAAACCAACTTGATGTGAAGTCAATCTTTGCTCAATTTTCATGATGTTTTCACTGAAACATGCAGAATTATTAATTTTCTCTGGTCCTAAAATGATAAAGAAAATGATACTCAAATCAATGAAATCATTGAGAATAAATTATAAAATTGTCAAGATAAAAATTTCCAACCTCAAATTACTAAAATTTCTTAACAAATATTGAAGTCTTAAAATTTCTATTTTGCACTTGACCTGTGATTTCACTGTAATGCCTCAAGATAAAATTACTTTGAAATATTAATCTGAAGAAACTACAAAGAATTCTGCATTTTATGGTGTTTTAGTCATAAAAAATGAGCAACTAATAACACTGAATAGTATTTTAGAAAATTGCATTTTTCAATGAAGTATATAGTGGAATTTAATAAAATTATGACTCACTTAAGTAACTGAGTGTTACTGTAGTGGGTTAATCCTTTAGCTCAGTCGGTAGAGTATTGGATTTTAAAGGGGGGAGGAAATAGCACCTCCTTCAAATTTACCTGGTCTTAGAAAGTCTGTAAATCATCTGAAATTAAGCCTAGGATTGGATACTTTGATTTGATTGACATTTAGTTTGCTGCTATTGTGTATATCTTGTCTACCTTGTCTAGAGATCGTACCGACCATCGAATTTACTTTCAGGCTTTTGATGCCTACCGCACTGTATGCCAACGTGATAAAGAAGCAATCAAATCGTTCTTTTCTTTTTTTAATTAATTCATAAGAATATTCCATATATATAATCAATCTATCAAATAATTAAATAAATGACATGAAAATCATGGCTATATAATAAATATTATTTATAAATTTGATTTTAAAAGGGAGGATTTCAAATTGCGATTACAATTGATAATTTTAAATTCCGTGTCAAAACATGAGTTAACGTACATTTATTCCTCCTTTAAATAAACCGACCTGCGTTTGAAGCTAGTATCATGGAATTAGATAAAATTATTTTTTAAAACAAGTATGACAACATTGTACATGTACCATTGTTCATTAGTCAATCGAATTCAGATGTATAAGACAAACCTGTATGTTTCGCTTTTCTTAGAGACATGGTGACGAAGTTAACGTATAATCTGAGGGTTTTAGGTTCAAGCCACTGTAAGGACACCCCCTAGCTATTAAATCAGATAAAGTTTTATTAGGTCTGCAGAATTTTCAAACATTTCCACTGATATTTTGGTCAATTCTTGACAAAGTCCTGTAAGCATTTTACTTTTAATGTATGGATTGATGAACATATTTTTTGACTGCAATGATTTTGATTTGAAATTATATGAATAATAGGTACCTAAAATATCAAGAAATCATATTATCTTCTGTGCTTGGATAAGAGACTTTGTTTCACTTTTTATACAATTCAAAACAAAATTTTGCCTTAATAATTGTGACAAAATATTAGAAATTTCCCTCATTATACCTATAGTAAAAATTATTCAGATTACTAAGGATTTATTTTAATGCAAATATTTAATTTTTTTCACTTGTTTGTTGCTCTGTAGAGCAACAAACAGATTGTCATTTGTATCCATACACAGTCCATGGGGATTACTCAGTCCACAGTCTATGTAACGGAGGAACTGTCCATCCTGGTCTATGATGTGGACACACTCATTGTTATAATCAGCTGTAAGGATGTGACTCTGACTGTCTGTGGTGATTCCTCGTGGATCAAATCCTTTGTTCTTTGGAGCAGGAGTATGTCCAGTGTACCTGAATCTCAGTTTCCCGGCCTGATTGACCACCACTACTGCTCTAGCTTCATTGTCAGACACACAGATATCCAGATTCCTGTTCTCTCTTATGTATCTGTAATAATTACCAGATGAATAGAGAGGTTTACCTTTATCATCAAACTGAATGGTTTGTTTCTCTGTAGAGCCAGAGTAACAGACAACTTTTGTTTCTTTTCCATCATTACTGTCCATGATAACCAGGAGGTCACCAGAGGAGGTACTACAGACACCTTGAGGTCTCCAGTTCTGTAGTCTGATCAACTCCTCTATCTTCTCATTCTTCACAATGTTCACAGTTCTATCATAATCAGTATAAACTAGATCTCCACTTTTGGTCACTGCTATGTTAGATGGAATGTTCTTTGACTTAGTTGTGATTGACTTGAGTAGTGATCCCTGATTGATGCTGTAGAGTTTCATGTTGTTGTCACCTCCAATTGTCCAGATTTCTTCATCACTCAGACAGGCCACATTGTAAAGGAATGGAAGAAGCGTAAAATGTATGTATATTTTTATAGTGGTGACAGTCTCTGGTTCATCAAGCAGCTGTTTGACTGGAGGAGAGGATCCAGCTTCTGGTGATTTCTGTGTTGTCTTCATGCTGTAACCATCTTTTTCTGATGTTAAAGAACTTGATGATAAGGCGCCAAACACTTTAAAAAGCTCTTTATGGATTGTTCCATGCGTGAACTTGGGTAAAGATGGCATAATTTTGTGTGGAAGATTTCTGTATATATCTACATTGGATGTAACACTAAACAGTTTTGACAAGTCATTAGTGTCTATTGCTATTTCAACTGAATCAATTTCATCCTTGATGTCAGACATTGTCTTGTTTATTTCATCCAGATGTTTCTGTAGAGTTTGTAACTGTGTGTTTTTCATCTCATCAACTTCAGCTTTAAGTTTCTTGACAAGTTTGTCAATTTCTCTGTGCCAGTCCTCTCCATGTTTTGTTATGGCTGTTGAGAGATCTCCATATTCCTTTTCTAACTGACTCATTCTGTTTTGTACATCAGAGGCAATATCCTGGTAGGTGGGATAGATTTTCTCATTTAATTCAGTTATGTCTTTCATAATTTTGTTTCTTCTTTCATCTGAAACTTGCAGAATTTTCACAATTTTATGCCCAAGGTGTTTATCAGATGCAACACAACTTGTGCACACAGGAATTTCACATTGATTGCAGTACATTTCACATCGTTCTTTGATATGATGTTTACATTTGGGGTAGAGGGGGGTTGATTTCCTTGCCTGAAATTTAACAACTTCATGTTTCTTAGATTCATCAGATATCATGTGTTTTCCTACACAACTTGTACACAGGTTGACAAGACATGTATCACAGTGCATCTGTACCACAGCGGTCTCACACAGGTCACATCGCATCAGGTCCTGGGCACTGGTACGGGGGTCCATGATTAATTTAAAAGCTCTATATCAAACTAAAAAATAAAATTTTACATTCTTAGTAGAAATATTTAACAAAATTTAAATAATTCGACATCAAACTAGCATCCAAGAAAACTCAGAAAATAGATTAGTTTGTTCCCCATGGTTAAAAATTACTAAACTTGACTGTTTTCAGACTAGTTTCCTATTATTACCTTTCATCAGTAATGGCGACCGCCCTTGATCGAACTCCAAGTGCTATCTCTATACACACTGATCATGTGACATACCTGTGTTATCTACCTGTCAGGTGTTTATACTTCCTGGTCTAAAAGGAGATTCAATACCCTGCTATTCAAATGCTGGTTTTTAACATAATATTTGAATTTAGTATCCTATTTTATAATTTTAAAGCCACCAGGAAAGTAATAGCTCTATTATGCAAATTCAGAAAATTATCATATGATAATTACAGGCACTTGTTTTGGTAATAATTTTTTACCCATTAAAAATATAATAATTAGTGGATTATTTTATATAATTTATTTCTGAAACAAGTGTTTGTGATCTGAAGCCCAAAAGTTCATCTAATCAATACAACTCTGAACTTAGCTAGTAGCAAAGAAAACTCAGACAGGTTTCTAAACATTTTGATGTGGTATATCTGGCACACTCAAGGTGTAAGTATCCCCTGTCCACCAGTCAGTGTGTTCTTTGTCATGATCAGGCAAATGGAAAAACCGAAGACAATATTTGTAATTAGGGTATTCAATTTTTTTCCAGTTCTGGCAAGTAGGAGATGGAAAAAAAATTCGTTATCATGTTTTTATTTTAAATTATTTCTTCCAGGTGCAGGATACCATTCAGTACAAAAAGAAGATGCTTATGTGAAACTCTGTAAATCTACATGCCTAAAGGTGAAAAACTTTTATTAATAATATCTTAATGTACATAATTATGATTTTCATTAAAAATCTCAGAGGAATCGTTTACTATAAAATTGTGTACTTTTTTTATTGATCTTATTCCTGATATTTGAATTAGAGCTCATATGAGCGGAAAGCTCAAGTGAGCATTTCTGATCAAAATTTGTCTTTTGTCTGTCATAATTGTTGTCATTGTTTTCATAAACTTGTTCAATTTCACCTTCCTCTTATTAGCACCATAATAGGCTGATTTCATCTTTGCCTAGAACAAAGTATCAATGGATGGTTCTGGAGGATGCATGATTTAAAACAGGTCATAGCTTTTACAAGGTTCTTTAGAACAAAGTTCAAATGAAAGGCCACACCCTCTTCTAAGGGGAGATGGTAAAGAATAGTAAAAAAGGGTGACTGACCCAGTTAAAAATATTCTGAACCACTGAGCCAGAAAAATTGAAGCTTAATTATGTGAAAGCCTCCTGATGTACTGTAGATTCAGATTTGTATACATCATGATATGGGGCCACAATAGGCAAAGTTTTAAATAATAATAAATGAAGTCATAATGGAACTAACACTAAAAGACGATCAACTCATTTACTAGATCTTCACCTTAAGAAAAGCAATGCTCAATTTGCCATATTTATAAGGAAACATCTACAAACAGTGTAGATTCAATTTGTTCAAATCAGCTAGAAGGTTTTGACCACAATGGCAATAAATAGTTGCAAGGCTATAAGAAATATTTTGTTGCTCTTGTAGTGCAGAGGTAAGAGGGTCTGCTCTAGAGTTTTGAAGTACTGAGTTGATCCTTAAGTTGCAGGTTAGAATCCAACTGTGGGATGTGGAGACCATTCCTTCGGGTAAGACCGTATAAACTGAGGTCCCGTGTCGCAGTAGGTGCCGGCAAAAAAAAGATCCCTTCCTGCTCAATGGCCATGAGTGCAGAGTATAGGCTGAGAAATTTTAAAATTACTTATATTTGTTGGTATTTATTTTGTTGTTTTCGAATTACAAAGAAACCATTGAATTCATGCCCACCATGAATTGTATATTTTCATATACATAGCTAAAAGGTACTTCTCAGAAAAAAGGTTAATTAACCTGAGACCAGTATTCTTTCTTCAAGTCTCAAAAAATCATGATCAGATTCTGTGATTTTTAAGAAATAAAGTATCATTTTTTTAGTTTTATTGGGAGTAAAATGTGTTGGTCAAGTGATCAAATAAAGCCCAAAGGGCTTTATGGAAGATGTGATCATGTGCCAACCTGTTTTACATCCCAGTAAAACTCAAAAAATGATACCATATTACTTATATTTACATTTGTGACTTAATCATTCTTTAAATTTGCCTGATTGTGACTTTTAACTTGTGAAATGCATTATTTTTCAAACCCAACGGCATGTATGTAATCCACTGAACGCGCGTCAACCCTTTATGATGTCACTGAGAAATGACGTCAAACGTTTATCCATACTCATATCTATGACCTCTTGACCCCGTATCTGTGTCTATAAAGTTATAAAAACGCTTGCTTTCAGTAGTGTTATATAAAGGAAAACATTTGCAAATGTAAATATTACAGTATATATTGTGAGCATACATTGTGGTCTCATGTTGCTTATGGGTCCATTGCTTCACATTAATACTTGGTTGTGATTAACAGTTCTTGCTTTTTGTTTTATCAGGTGTATCATCTTCTGGAGAAGGGGAGGGGTGCTGTAGAGTGTGTGACAGAGGCAGTTAAATCTTTGGAGGTATGGATAAGATAGGTAAATCTGTAGGGTGTGTGACAGACACTATCAATGTTTAGAGGTATGCATGGATACAATTAGTACAAGAGGCCCATTGGCCACATTGCTATTTATTTTTTTTGCAAAAATTTGATCCCCACTGTTGCAACCACTATTGAAATAACGACCACTATTGAAATAATTATATCAAATGAATAGTGGTTGAGAATGCATTTCAATAGCAAGCATAGTTAATAACCACTATTGAAATACGACCACTATTGAAATAATTATTTCAAATGAATAGTGGTTGAGAATGCATTTCAATAGCAAGCATAGTTAATAACCACTATTGAAATACGACCACTATTGAAATAATTATATCAATAGTGGTTGAGAGTGCATTTCAATAGCAAACATAGTTAGTATAACCACCATTGAAATACAACCACAATAGATATAATTACTTCAATGGTGGATGAGAGTACATTTCAATATGATTACCATAGGTTTCAACCACTATTGAAATACGAGCACTATTGAAATAATTATATAATAGTGGGGATTACGATAGGTTTCAACCACTATTGAAATATGACCAGTATTGAAAGAAAAGTTCCACCTTGTAATTGTTTTATTTTTTATCGAAAATTTCACAAAAATTGGATATGGGGTGAAAAATATATACATAGATTAATAATTAAGAAAGTGTATAAAGTAATAATGATTGTTTTAGTGAGGCAAAATGTTGAACATCCCAGAAGGTTTACAATTATTTCTTTACATTCTAGAAATTTATTATTTGCATATTTTCAATGAAATCAGACAAGAATATTTACCAATCCAGGCATCCATATTTTGTTTGTATCATCTGCCCTAAATTTAGATAGTTATTGAAATTATAATTTCAAAAGTGATTTAAATAACTATTTTGATAGTTGCTGAAAATACTTCAAACTAAAACCATAATTGAATCCATATTAAAATCTTTCTTTCAAAAGTGAACATTATTTCAATAGTGGTTGCAACCTATGTTTGTTATTGAAATGAATCTCGCCCACTATTGAAATAATTATTTCAATAGTGGTCCTTTTTAGTTCTACTGGTCAGAGACCAGAAGAGCTTATGCGATAGTCATGTGTCCGGCGTCCGTCCGTCGGTCTGTCTGTCTGTCCGTCTGTCTGTAAACAATTTTTCAAAACGCTACTCCTCCTACAGTTTTGGTCTGATTTCAATATAACTTGGCACACAAGTAGACTACACAAAAATACATAGAATAGTGCATCGGTTTTTTATTTCAATGAACGGTGTAGCCATGGTTACTAAAAATAGAATTTTCTGTGAAATTCCTTTAAAACGCTACTCCTTCTACAGTTTTGGTCTGATTTTAATATAACTTGGCACACAAGTAGACTACACTAAGATACATAGAATAGTGCATCGGTTTTTAAATTCGATGAATGGTGTTGCCATGGTTACTAAAAATAGAATTTTCTATGAAATTCCTTTAAAAAGCTACTCCTTCTACAGTTTTGGTCTGATTTCAATATAACTTGGCACACAAGTAGACTACACTAAGATACATAGAATAGTGCATCGGTTTTTTATTTCAATGAACGGTGTAGCCATGGTTACTAAAAATAGAATTTTCTGTGAAATTCCTTTAAAACGCTACTCCTTCTACAGTTTTGGTCTGATTTTAATATAACTTGGCACACAAGTAGACTACACTAAGATACATAGAATAGTGCATCGGTTTTTAAATTCGATGAATGGTGTTGCCATGGTTACTAAAAATAGAATTTTTTAGCTCACCTGAGCCAAAGGCTCAAGTGAGCTTTTCTGATCACAATTTGTCCGTTGTCTGTCGTTGTCGTTGTCGGCGTTGTCGTCGTCGTCGTCGTTGTCGGCGTTGTCGTTGTCGTAAACTTTTCACATTTTCATCTTCTTCTCAAGAACCACTGGGCCAATTTCAATTAAACTTGGCACAAAGTATCCTTGGGTGAAGGGGATTCAAGTTTGTTCAAATGAAGGGCCACGCCCTTTTCCAAGGGGAGATAATCATGATTTAGAGAAAAATTATTGGCATTTTTAGAAAAATCTTCTCCTCAAGAACCACTGGGCCAGGAAAGATGAAACTCATGTGGAATCATCCTCAGGTAGTGTAGATTCAAGTTTGTTCAAGTCATGACCCCCGGGGGTAGGGCGGGGCCAAAATGGCCGATCAAAGTTTTACATAGGAATATATAGAACAAATCTTTAAAAATCTTCTTCTCAAGAACCACTGGGCCAGGAAAGATGAAACTCATGTGGAATCATCTTCAGGTAGTGTAGATTCAAGTTTGTTCAAGTCATGACCCCCGGGGGTAGGGCGGGGCAAAAATGGCCGATCAAAGTTTTACATAGGAATATATAGGAAAAATCTTTATAAATCTTCTTCTCAAGAACCACTGGGCCAGGAAAAATGAAACTTATGTGGTATCATCCTTAGGTAGTGTAGATTCAAGTTTGTTCAAGTCATGACCCCCGGGGGTAGGGCGGGGCCAAAATGGCCGATCAAAGTTTTACATAGGAATATATAGGAAAAATCATTAAAAATCTTCTTCTCAAGAACCACTGGGCCAGGAAAGATGAAACTCATGTGGAATCATCCTCAGGTAGTGTAGATTCAAGTTTGTTCAAGTCATGACCCCCGGGGGTAGGGCGGGGCCAAAATGGCCGATCAAAGTTTTACATAGAAAATATATAGGAAAAATCTTAAAAAATCTTCTTCTCAAGAACCATTGAAACAGGAAAGATGAAACTCATGTGGAATCATCCTCAGGTAGTGTAGATTCAAGTTTGTTCAAGTCATGACCCCCGGGGGTAGGGCGGGGCCAAAATGGCCAATCAAAGTTTTACATAGGAATATATAGGAAAAATCATTAAAAATCTTCTTCTCAAGAACCACTGGGCCAGGAAAGATGAAACTCATGTGGAATCATCCTCAGGTAGTGTAGATTCAAGTTTGTTCAAGTCATGACCCCGGGGGTAGGGCGGGGCCAAAATGGCCGATCAAAGTTTTACATAGGAATATATAGGAAAAATCTTAAAAAATCTTCTTCTCAAGAACCATTGAAACAGGAAAGATGAAACTCATGTGAAATTATCCTCAGGTAGAGTAGATTCAAGTTTGTTCAAGTCATGACCCCCGGGGGTAGGGCGGGGCCAAAATGGCCGATCAAAGTTTTACATAGGAATATATAGGAAAAATCTTTAAAAATCTTCTTTTCAAGTACTTCAAAGCCAGGATTAGTAATATTTGTATGGAATCATCCTCAGGTAATGTAGATTCTAGTTCGTTCAAATTATGATCCCCTTGGGGGTTAAAATTCAAGCCCCCCCCCAACTTAAATTAACTTTCAGTTCTGATCTGATGTGTTTTTTCCTAGCTGATGTGCTCAGGTGAGCGCTGTGGCCCCTGGGCCTCTTGTTATGAAATTCCTTTAAAAAGCTACTCCTTCTACAGTTTTGGTCTGATTTCAATATAACTTGGCACACAAGTAGACTACACTAAGATACATAGAATAGTGCATCGGTTTTTAATTTCGATGAACGGTGTTGCCATGGTTACTAAAAGTAGAATTTTCTGTGAAATTCCTTTAAATTGTTACTCCTTCTACAGTTTTGGTCTGATTTCAATATAACTTGGCACACAAGTAGACTACACTAAGATACATAGAATATTGCATCGGTTTTTGATTTCGATGAACGATGTAACCATGGTTACTTAAAATAGAATTTTCTGTCAAATTCCTTTAAAACGCTACTCCTTCTACAGTTTTAGTTTGATTTCGAAAAAAGTTGGCACACAAGTAGACTACACAAAGATACATAAAATAGTGAAATGGTTTTTGATAAGAACAAACCAGTAGAGCTACAGTCTCATCAGAGACTTCTGGTTCAATAGTGGTTATTTAATATGTTTGTTATTGAAATTCACCCTCAACCACTATTGATATAATTATTTCAATAGTTGTTGTATTTCAGTAGTGGTAACTAACTATGTTTGCTATTGAAATGCACTCTTAACCACTATTGATATAATTATTTCAATAGTGGTTGTAATTCAATAGTGGTTACCAACTATGTTTGCTATTGAAATGCAGTCTCAACCACTATTGATATAATTATTTCAAAAGTGTTCGTATTTCAGAAGTGGTTATTACCTATGTTTTTTATTGAAATACACCCTCAACCACTATTTATATAATTATTTCAATAGTTGTATTTCAATAGTGGTAACTACATGTAACTTATGTTTGCTATTGAAATGCACTCTTAACCACTATTGATATAATTATTTCAATAGTGATTGTAATTCAATAGTGGTTACTAACTATGTTTGCTATTGAAATGCACTCTCAACCACTATTGATATAATTATTTCAATAGTGGTCGTATTTCAGAAGTGGTTATTACCTATGTTTTTTATTGAAATACACCCTCAACCACTATTGAAATAATTATTTCAATAGTGGTCGTTATTTCAAAAGTGGTTGCATCACCCCACTGTGGTCCAACCCCCCCCTTCCCCCATTGTAGCCCAACCCTGGCCCCATGGTCATGATCAAAACAACAAATAGAGTTTTAAAGAATTTTTGTATGTATTTCTATGTAAAACTTTAATCATCTTTTGTGGCTCCACCCTACCCCTGGGTGTCATGATTTGACTAAACTTCATGGTCCTTCATTTGAACAAATTTAAATCTCCTTTACTAAAGGATTCTGTCTGGCAAATTTGGTTAAAGTAGGCCGTCATTCTTGAGAGGAATCTTTTAGATACAGTGTACATGTATCCATGGCATATAAGATATCGGAGTTCAACTTAGTAATTATACAAGAATTTTTTCTTCATCTTCAAGGATTCATTGTTGACCAATGCAGGCGTGGGATCCAGTCTAAACATTAATGGCTGTGTGGAATGTGATGCTTGTATTATGGAAGGAAAGAAGCTGGTGTTTGGAGCAGTGGGGGCCATTTCTGGTTAGACATCACTCAAAATAATTAAAAATTAAACGTAGGGAAAAGTCTTCAGAGGCTATCTTTTTATATGGTTTTAGACGTTGAAGAGACATTTTGTATTCCAGGTGTCAAGAACCCAGTAGAGGTGTCGGCCACGCTGGTTAACAGACAGTTGGGGGACAAATTGTCCTTAGGGAGACTTCATCCCAGGTTACAATTAAATACATGTTTTACACTTAAAGGTAGAGATTTTTTACCGGGTGGTAAATTCCAGGTGAGGGAGGGGCTTGTTTTGTACAGGTGTGAATGCCTTGGGGGCTAGCAGTCTACCTGCGGTCATCTGTCTCCTAATCCCTATACACAGGAAGTGATTTAATACACAGTGAAATACCGCAGGTGTCAAACTTTACCTGTGTTTGGGATTTTGAGACAATTTTAAAATTAGTAGTAAAAAGGTTTTTTCAACTTTTTATTATTTTTTTTGACTGTTTGAAAACACCCCTACCTATTTAAAAAAAATATAATGATACCGTACTAAGAATTCAAATATTAAAACAAAGTTTGTTTTAGATGTTATATTGTATGTGTTAATTTAAAGAATTAAAAACAACTCTTGTAACAACCAAATTAGACTTACTAGAGTAATTAATTCCTTCATCCCCAGGATCCCATCTATTAGTTAAATGAAAAGAGAGCTGTGTGAACAACATTTCACAAAAAATATCTGCACTGTATAGGTCTATCCTAACCTTAATAAGGATTTGTCACCCTGAAACATATGCTTTTTAATTCTCATTTGAATAAAAAAGAAAAATGTGACCCATTATTAGAAACATTATTTTTAAATTTAATTAATTTACACAGTGCATATCTGAACTTTATCAATAACATTTCCACTTTACCATTTAACATATTAAAAATAATATAGAAATTTAATTTGAAAATAGGTTTTTGTACTAAAGTTAAATATTTTGGCTTTAAAAATACATATTATATTATTATCCTTTCAAATACAAAAGATATATTTAATTCATATATTATTTAAGAAATAAAGTCCGCGTTTTCGTGAATGTTGCAGAATAACCTCCAAGGTCGAGAAATGTTGTTTGAAAGATAAAAGCCGAGGCTTTTATATTTCAAACAACATTTCGAGACCGAGGAGGTTATTCTGCATCATTCACGACAACAAGGACATTATTTCTATTCTACCAAGACCGATAAATACGGCTGATTGTTTCCTCTATAGAGAAACGAATTAGGTCACCATGTCTCGATTACGCTGTTTTATTTAACACCAGAGGTACAATTTGTTTGCTTACCTGTGTTAGGAATGCAGACGATCTGAGCTTTCGTTACATTGAAAATAGTCTTTTTTAAATTACAAATTTGTTCGTTATATGTATTGATCAGTTAAAAACGAATATACAATAACAAAATCATGTTCCTGTTTTACTGCTAAAATCACATTGTTTAATGTGTAGGGAGGTCCGTGGAATAGCCCTGCTTAGCTATTAAAACCGACTTCATCTGTAACTTTATGAAATTTACAGTGTTTATTTCTTATAAAGACGACACATCAATGCGGTCTAAACAAGTATTTCATTCTACAGCCAAACATGCATTTGAATTTTTTTTAATTTGTACATGTTTCTGATCTGATAATTTTTTGATGACGTTCGTGATTTATTGGAGAATAATGTCCGGCGGCTTTCTTTCATGTTTTTAATAATCGTGGTAGAATAGTCTATAAAATTCCGTAGTTATACATGTTCTGTATACCATGTTCTGTAAACATCAAAGTATCAAAAGTTAATTAGAAGGTCACCATGAGTTCCAATCAAGGTGTACAAGGTATACACAGAGACCAGTAAGTAAATGTCAATCAAGGTCCAGCATCCAATGATGGACCTTCATCCACTTGATTGACAGGCTGCCAAGACTAGGTATTTTTGAAGGCGGTGCTTAAAATCTCTGCCTTTAAAATACTGTATGCGTACTTTAAAAAGCGGGCTTCATATTTTAGCAATTTTTGCACAGACAACAATGCGCTAATTCATGAATACCATTAAACAATCATTTATACATACAATATAAAGCGCGGACATGTGTAGCGCTAATTCATGATTGGCTAACTATTCACTACCCAGTGAGTGCGCTAAATTTTGAATAGTCACGCCAAATTATGTACATGTATAGTACCTACAGAACTGATAGAGATGGTGGCTTGATGTCGTCTCGACATGTCATCTTCTTAAAAATTATCTACTTCTATAAATTTATATTAATCTAATTAATAAAAGACAACAACAAACAATTTACTTTTAATATAAACTTTCCTCTTCAGTGTTCTTGTAGGTGATGGAGCTAAACAATGGGCTGAAGAAAACGGAATAAAAACTTTGGAAACTAGACATCTAATTACAGGTAAAATAGTCCATAAATGACATAAGGTAAAATCTGTTACATTGGTTTATAATTAATAGGAAGAGAGACATTTCAATAAAATGACAGTACAGTGAAACTTAGTTACTGTAAATCACTTTTTATTCAAGAGAACTTTATTTTCGCGTAATTACACAAGACGGTTTGCTCGCAAAAATTTCATTCTCGCGTATAATAGAATTCCTTTAATATTATATAGAGCAATGACCACAATTCGTGAAAAATTTGTCTTGCTAATAAAGAGTCAATAACTATCTCGCGAAAATAAGGTGTCGCAAAAATTAAGTGATCTACAGTATAATGAAATCACTGGGACCTAAGAAATCACTTCACTATATTTGTAATTTGTTATATCCATATAAGAAATTCTTTAAATTTATATAGCTGGAGATTCAAAATGACTTCGCTATATCCGTAAATTCGCTATATCTGTGTACGTACAAAACGAGTTTTGCTGTATTTGATAATTGAGTATTATGTCTCAATCTTTTCTTAAAGCAGATATGTCTCCAGTAATGGTCAGATAATAGAATATGCAGACTTCTTGTATTATTACTTTTAAATTAGATGAGGCACGGAAAACTTACCAGAGTCACAAAAGGAAACTGGACATTGTAAATGAGAGAGACAGCAGCAAGAAAATGAAGTTAACCGAACAGGTAAATTTAGCTATAATCCACAACAGCAGGCTATAGATAACTAAGTCATTCTTAATGGATAGTGGTTACATGAATATTCATTAGGTTAGTTTCCATTCTCATTCCCCCCACTGTCTCAAACTACATACAATGTAATCATGTTGATAGACGACCATCATTGTTGTATTTGTGTAGAGAGAAGACAAAACAGAGGAAAGTTGTGATGTAGAGGAGGAAGAGAAGATACAGGACACCGTGGGAGCTATCGTCATGGATACCAGTGGTAACATAGCAACAGCGGTGTCCAGTGGTGGGATTTCTCTCAAACAGTCAGGAAGGCTTGGCCCTGTGTGTACACTATCAATTAATATAAATTATATTCTAAAAGATAAATTCTTCTGATAAGTTAAACAATAAAATGCTTTCTTTGTTTTTATAATTACTGGAATTAACGGAAGCAGCTGTTGCAGAAAAATGATGTAATTTTTTTCTGCAATTGCTGTGACCGTTTATTCCAGTAATAACAAACAAAGAAAGCATTTTATTGTTTATATTTTTATCTCTTTAAATAATCATTTAAACTAGGAGTTAAAAAATTAATTATTTTATTAATGATGCAAACGTTTTTATTTGTTTCATTGATGGAACAGCCACTGATCAAGAAATCTGTACAGATGACATGCATAGTGTAGTTCATGCAGTGATTAACGCAATGGGTTTTCTTAAGAAATAAAAGAGAAAATATTCAGTGGATGTAAATATTTGTTGATAAGGGACATATATATGTAGGTTATTAACTGAATATACACTATCACACTTGATGTCTTTGCACAGTAAAATGGACAGGTTTGGGGGTCCACATCCAAACAAAGTCTAAGGGCAGACACATTTTCCCAATAATCAGATATGCTTTCAATTAAAAAATTCCAATTTCCAATTATTTTAATCCAATATACAGAATTTCTCTGATTTTTTGGATGTAAGCATTCTGACAACATAAGTGAACTGATTATAATTTTGATGTCATGTATCCTATATGTAATGTTATTGAAAGGCAGAAAAAAGCAAGTTTGATATTTTGACGTCATAATCTCAAAATTAGCCGTCTTGCATTTACGGTACAGACTGACGTGTTTCTGTAAAAACTTGTGCTCTTCTGTACACTCTATTGATAAATCTATCCAAATATTTGAATTTTAAAAAAGTTACTGTATAAGTACTTTTTACACAGGGTATTAATATACGCACTGTACACAGTCACAAATTCTCTGCAGAAGTTTTTCCTTTTAAACCAAATATTCTTTTTAGGCATATTAAGCGAGAGTAAGAAATCCGCAGAAATTTTTCCCTTGGATGAAACAGAAACAAAGATTTCTTTGAATTTTGACTCATGAAAACGTAATTTGACTGTCTAGAATTTAGTTAGCTGCTCAAGAGGAATATATAATTGACTCTTTGAATTGATCTTTCTTAATGAGTTATCCAGTGATTGTATTTAGGAAGCCATTTATTCTTAAAGTATTTTACCATGGAAATATTACTTGGTTTCTATGTGTTTAAAATAACCAGATTGACTAATTATAAAATTAACCATGCTCTCGAAGAACCCATTTTACTTTTTAGGTCACCTGAGTAAACTCAGGTGACCTATTGCTATCTGTTTTCGTCCGTCGTCGTGCGTCGTGCGTTGTGCGTTAACATTTGAACATTTTCAGCTTCTTCTCTGCAACCACTGAACCAATTTTAACCAAATTTGGCACAAAGCATCTATGGGTAAAGGGGAACAAAAATTGTGAATTTCATGATCCCGGCCCCCCTGGGGCCTGAGGGGTGGGGCCAAAACCACTAAAATTACTGCAATCTTTAAAAATCTTCTTCTTTACTCCTGGACATCAAGCAGTTAAACTGTTTGCATGATTGTAATCAGCAATGAGTCCTCTACCAAAATTGTGAAATTTATGGCCCTGGGGTCAGGGGTTCTAGTGCTAGGGCGGGGCTAAATAAGTAGGTAGTGAAAATGCATTATTTCTTTGAAAATCTTCTTCTCTGCTCCTGGGTATTAAATAAACCAGCTAAGAACATAGTTATGATGAGCAAGAGTGCCTCTACCAAAATTGTGAATTTTATGGCCTCAGGGTCAGGGGTTCTGGTGTTAGGGCGGGGCTCTATTGATTATATAGTGAAAATACATGAATTCTTTGAAAATCTTCTTCTCTGCTCCTGGGTATTAAATAAACTAACTAAGTACATAGTTATGATAAGCAAGAGTGCCTCTACCAAAATTGTGAATTTTATGGCCCCAGGGTCAGGGGTTCTTGTTTTAGGGTGGGGCTCTAATGATTATATTTAATGAAATGCATGAATTCTTTGAACATCTTATCCTTTGCTCCTGGTTAATATGATAATGATCTAATTACATATTTAAGGCCAGGATTAATTTTATTTTCAGTTTTACAAACTCTCCGCTCAAGGTTTTAAATTTTCAGAAATAAATAAAACTTTTTTTTTCTTTCCGATGTCAAATTTGAGTCGGGATCGAGATTTCAAATTTACGAACTCGCACTTCCGGTTTTTACGATGAAACGGCGAGTAAATAAAGCTAGCCTGGTTTAGTGTAAAATTCATCGATAAGAGTGCCATTCAAAACGTTTCTTCTGTTCAAGGGACAAATAAAATGCTGACGACTTTGTTGCACAATGACATGCTGGTGAGAGAATTATGTATTCGTTCCAAAAGTAACTGTAAATTATTTTCTGTCCGCAGGTTTTAAACTGCTCGTGGTAGGTATTGCATATTGCCAGCGACATTGTTTAGGTCTCTGTTATAGCTTACAGTCTAAGCATCATTCTTCAGAAAAGGGTGGCTTATGCATCAGATGTAATGAATAAAACTATGGGAGAAGTTAAGTCCATAAGTTTACAGGTCTGGTACAATCACTAGATTTAGCTACGTAGCTTGATTTACCTACATAGCTTTATTTACCTACCTGAGGTAGCTTTATTTAGCTACCAAATTGGTTTATTTCTATTTAAAAGCATTTTTCTCAGGGTGTGCAGAAAATATCATTTTGATGCAGTGATCATTTTCAACTTTGAACTCATCTGAAAACAACTCATGAAAAAATCCCTCTTGGAAAAATGTCTTTTTCTGTGCAATTGCAATCAAAGTTCTGAAAGTTTTGGGGCTATGTATGACAGTTAGAACAGTTACCCCTTGAATGAAATGACAAAGAAGTCCAGTTCCAGTTAACACGATAATAGGTCGGTAATTATTCAGCACAATGTGAAGTAATCATACTCAGTCATGCCTCACCGCACGGACAGCTAACCAAACAATGGAATTACATGTTTTGCTCTAAATTGTCCAAACGCAGCAATGTATAAACTATCTCTGCTTTGGATTGTTTTTTTAAGCCTCCCTAGAATAAATATCTATAGTCATTAAATTGCGACTTTTTGTCTCTTTTTAATAAAAAGAAAACTTTTGAAAACTTACCTTGAAATAGCTAAATAAAGCTACCTGAGGTAGGTAAATAAAGCTACGTAGGTAATTCTACCTACGTAGCTAAATCTAGTGATTGTACCAGACCTGGTTAATTTTACAACAATGTGTACACATTCACCTAACACATATTTAAAGAATGATGATATATTGAAAGACTTTTAAAGAATTGATTTTTTAAAAATATATTTTGATCAACATCACACAAGTTATATAACTGGCCCAAACTTGCAGATGATGAAATAAGCAGTTAAATGTTCTACTTTCCTATAGTCCAATCCACACTTTTCAAAAGTTATGTCCCTTGGCCGCCATCTTAGGGAATAAACCCATACAATCCACACAGTAGCCTTTGTAGTTTTCAGGTTTGTAACTTCGTCATTTGACTTTAAAAAAAAGCTCTGCCTTTTGTGTACTGATTGCCCCAAAATGGGGCTACCCACATATCGAAAGAAAGAAAATTAAACACAATGGATTTATCATAGCACGTCCAAATATTTAGTAGCATAAAGAGGAGAAATGACGTTTCTTTCCCTTTTGACCTTTTGGTTGACCCCGCAATGGGAAACAACTTTTGCAAAGTGTGGATTGGACTATTTGTAAGCATGTGTCCAGTGGTAAGGAGCCTATTAGGAAAAAGACTGAACAAATATTAATAATTGAGTTATCAGAAAAAAAAATTATTTCCTTCTCCTGCGGGACTTTTTTATTCTTATGTTCATAACTAAACCTAAATATAAAAAAAAAATGCTGGCCTTATAATGAAGAAATGGGCCTCTTTCAAAATAGATAATTTCAGGGCCGCTTGGTCAGGGGTACCAGGGGGGTACTTTGACTAAAAATAAATTAATGCTTTGAAATCTGCCCTTTGATAACCATTGGTGCCTCTTTCAAAATTTGTGAATTTCATGGCTTTTGGATTAAAACACGAACCAAATACAATCGCTGGAAAGTTGTTACATGATACTCAGGTGACCTATAAGGCCCGTGGGCCTCTTGTTGATACATATATTCAATCTATAACTTTCAGGCAGCAACCTATGGTGCAGGATGTTGGGCCTACAATCAGAGACCAGGAAAACCAGGGGTGGGAACCAGTACATCAGGTAAGACGACCTTGAAATTAGCTAGAGGTCACATGATTACCTTGGAAACTATGAAAAATGTTAAGAACAGTTAATAAGATTTGTAATTCTGAAATAGCCCTAAACTTAAGCATATAAAAATGGTATCTAATATTGCAACGGCAAATACACTGTAAGTGAAAATAAAAAATTGTACATATATGCATGAAACTAATGTTACAAAATGGTGCACATTGACAATTCATCATTAAATCATCATGATATATTTTTGTCCTAAAACTTTGCAAAGATAGTTTATTCACAAGTTTTTCCGATCAAAACGTAAAATTGGAGGTGCACGAGGCACTTAGTAACAAAGATTCTGTATGAGTCTCATTAAACTTCATTCAGTGGTAAAAGAGGAGTCAGGGATAAGAGATAGAAACCCCAAACCCCAAACCATAACAGACGGATGGACATAAATAACTATATATCCTTCCACTTTTCAAGCAGGGAATATAATTATTTCAAAGAAAAAGAAACAATAATACAGGGGTAGTAAAACTATAACTACTTTTCCAATCCTATGACTTACAGCAACTTTTTTCTGTGTTAATTGTTTCTTCATAAAATATATATTTTACATCTTAATACTTTTCATACAGGAAGTGGTGAACACATTATGAAGACATTACTGGCCAGAGAGAGTGCCTTGTCTATACAACAGGAAGATAATGCTAGTCTTGGATTGTCCAACTGTTATAAAAATAACTTCTTAGGTCAGTGACTATGTTAGTCTGTGACTGTCTAACTGTTATAAAAATAACTTCTTAGGTCAGTAACAATGCTAGGCTAGCAATGGCAAACTTGAAAAAAAATCCTTTCAGTTCAGTATATAGATGCAGAGCTGGATCATTGTAATGGTTTGATGCTTAGTCTTTGACAATTAATGCTATTGATCCTAGCATTCTCTTACAGTCTTGTCTAAGGACCAGTCAGTTTGATTGTGTAGAAATATCTGCCACACCACCAAAAATTCTTAACAAGCCAGTTTATTAGTTTGTTGAATACTATTGACGGATAGACATGTAAGGAAATGGATAAAATATACAGGTTGCTCATGTAATATGTCTAGAATTAGGTAGTTGATTGGTCAATGCTGGAAGTGAAGAAATACATCCCTAACACAGAATATTTTGTGCCGTAAATTTCACAATATCTGCACAACGGGATCTGTAGCATTATAATCAAAGATTAAAATATAAAACCATATCTGCAGTCAGGAACCAGGATGGTAAACAATTCTGATCAGTTTCTTGATTGAAATCAATAGCATTAGTGGACTTCCAAAATTCACAATAAATTTAGTTTATCAATGTCAAGATTTACTTATTTCAATGCTTATTTGTATTTCTTTTCCTGACAGAGTCTGAGTTTTTAGAGGAAGAGGATGACAAGTTAGCTGGTGTGCTGGCTCTCAAACAGAATGAGGAGGATACAGGTATCCATGGTGATTTAACTGTACTCTTCAAGACATGTTAAAAAAACTTACTTGAATATGATTTGTTTTATTAGATTCTTGCATTTGTATGACACTGATATCCTTTTAAAACAATGTTCATGGATATTTATGTCCAGAAGCATTGTATTTCTAGAATATCAAATGATTTCTGGTAAATTATTAATGCACACTGTGTTATTTGAATTTTTTTCACAGTGGAAGTATTATGGGGTCACACAACAGACAGCATGTGTGTGGGGTATATGTCTTCTTCACTGAAGAAACCAAAGGTAATTTACATTATGTATTTGATGTTTATTCAGGTAATGTTTGTGAAAAGTAATTCTAAAAAAAAATTTTTGACTAAGATTTATAAATTTGTGGTAGAAAGCAGGAAGTTAAACATTTCTGTTTTACGTGTTTTATAGCATTATTCTTACATTTAAGCACAATTAATGTGTGGGGTCTTTCTCAGCATTAATTAAACTTTCCTAAAAAGTATCGTTTTAATAGTAACAATATAATTATGTAAGGCATTGCAGAAATTTCACATTATTTAGTAATCGGTTATGTACATGTATATAATTTCAGGTTGTCATGTCTCGTCTACCAGAAGGTGGGATACCTGGGAAATCTTTCACCATGTCTGGAGTGTCCATATGAGAGGATGCCAAATAGAATGTCCTCACAAACCAAGTATTGTGTGTCGTTACATAGAGACCAGGGAAATCCCTCACCACGTCTACAGGGGCTGAGAGGAGCCTTGTCATAGCGAGGAAAGTCCCTCACCATGTCTGGTGTATCAAAACGTGTTGATATGCAGGGAATGGAAGAGGATTCTTTGACAAGTGATCATATGGAAAACATAAAGGAAAACCAGGGAAATTTTTCCCACCTCTTTTTGTTCGTTCTAGGTGACAAAACATATAATGCAATTATATTTTGTTTGATTTTGTTAGACTTTTTGTCTCTGGTTTTGAGAATTTAACAAAGATTCGAATTAACCTAAAAGTTAATAAATCATTCTTGTCAAAATTGGTTGTTGGTTACTAAAAATAAATCCCCTCCAAACAATTACAGTGTCAGTCATAAATATTCAACTTCAACAATAACCTGGTCACTTGTCTGTTGTTTAACCTTTCGAGAATTTTTTACTCGTATGGAGATGCCTATATTTGCTGAGGGAGGGCAGAAAATTCTGCCTTATACTGGGCACTTACAGCATAATTAAAAAAAATATTAGTAAAGTATTAATAATCTGAATAAGCTACTGCCGAAAAGAAAATCTCAGGGTAAAATAAGGCCATTTCAAGTTTTTTCTCTGTTTAGCATCCACCCATATTTCAAGAACCTAGCTACCTATTTGCAAAAAACACACAAGTCAAAAAAAATTAAACACATATCTTATAGTAGTAAGAATGAAGTAATTCAAAAGATATTATTTTTATCTAACAGGTATTTTTCATAAAGAATATTATTTTCTTCAGCAAAATCAAGGTATTAATTACTGAAACTTTTCCAATTATGAAATATTATACAAATATGTAGAGAAATTGCTGCAAGTCACAAATTTTGACCTGAATAATAAATTTTCGGACTCCTGATTCTGTTTGATTTTTTTTGACATGGGGTGTCAAAAACAAAGACGCAAGCAGACGCTAAACATAGAAAAAACTTGGAATGGCCTAACCCCAAATAATGAAATTTGATATCCTTAAAAAAAAAAACTTGCCTGTAACTGTTAAATGGTTACTACTAGGGACTTTATATTTGACAAGTGCATATCCTGTGACGGGACCTTAGATTTAGTACTTGTACTTTTAACTCTTGTCCGTTTGACATTGACCTCTAAGGAATATTATATGCTCACTCCTTCATGGCACCTGATCCCAACTCTGATGTTTCAAAGGTCCATGTTTGCTTTGCTCCTATTTTGTATTGTTCTGTGGACTTTGATATTAAATATTGTTTGTTATCTCTGTATCCTTCATTCTTACCCATGAATAAATAAAATTAAATTAACAAAAGAAAAAATAAAGAATAAGGAAAATTAATAGTAATATATTTATATGCAAATTTTCTCTTAGAAGACCTTTCCTTGGAAAATTGATTCTTTTTTTTTATATATCAGATAAAAGATGTAGTACTGAAACTTTACAATGTTTACAATGTTATATCCCAAACACTGTTATAAAAAACTTACATAATACATTGAAAGAAAGAATTGCATACTTAAAAAAAAAGTTTCTAGTATGTACATGTATGAAATTATATCTAAAGAAAGTGACAATAAATGGCACCATAACTAGCAACATTTTACATTTTGTCAATATCATTCAATTAAACATCACCTTAGGCCTTATAGTACCCCAATACATTCAATTTATGGGGTTTCCACCACTTTATTGGGGTTTCACCCCTCCTGTATGGGTATTCTCCAAAAATTGGGGGGTTTCGGGTTTTTCGAGTTACTGAACTAATCATGCTTATGGTAATATCATAGGCGCTTGGTTACAGGATGGTGTATTTTGTGTATGATGTGTTTTTTTATGTGTGCCTGAATACCCTCATTAAAATAAAATTAATATCCTGCGAAATTAGCATGTTTTAAAAAATGTCTGGACTGTATAATTCAGCAAATTTTTATTTTTATCAGGGTATTCAGACACACCTACAAAAACACATTTTACACTAAATCCCATTTTACACAAAATCAGAGAAATATAAAACTGTTTTATATGTCTCTGACAAAATACAACATTCTGTAAAAAAGCCCCTATGGGTAATAGCACAAACATGGATATTGCTAAATCAGTGAGATAGCAAAGTAATCTTGGATCCCCAGATATATGAATTTAACGCATTTAAATTATTATACGGATATAACAAATTACGGATATATCAAGGTAATTTCATACAGTATGAGACCATAAGTGAGTCAAAATTGCATTTTTACGCTATATATTTCATTGTAAAACCAATTATATTTATAAAAACTTGTTGTGATCGAAGTCAATTCTAGCTCAATTTTCATGATGTTTTCACTGAATCATGCAGAATTATTCAATTTTTCTTGTCCTAAAATGATAAAGAAAATGATACTCAAATTATTGAGAATAAATTATAAAATTGTCAAGACAAAAATTTATAACCTCTAATTACTGTATTAAATTTCTTAACAAATTGAAGTCTTAAAATTTCTATTTTGCACTTCACCTGTGATTTCACTGTAATGCCTACAGATAAAATTATTTTGAAATAATATGAAGAAGCTGCAAAGAATTCTGCATTTTTTGGAGTTTTAGTCATAAATAAGATG